AATGATGTATATATAACTAGTAGTAGTTGTTGCAGGTATATAAGAAGGTTCCCTTAACCTGAATATTCATCAGTTTAAGTGGATCAGTTTTCGTTTAACCCTTATGTGTATCATAATTATACAATTGAAGATATGTAAAAGAAAATATTATCTGTCCAACCCTAGAATAGATATTTCACTTTATGTGATTTTATAACATGGTGTCAATGGAGAATCTCCCTGACCTAGAAGCCACATTTTCAAAGAAAATTAAAATTTTAACTTATACTGAAACTGAAATAATCCTTAATTTTAGTTTCTGTTGATTGATATATTGGTGTACTGGTTGAAGGAGGGGGGGGGGGGGGTAACCCAAATATTAGTCTGGACTAAACATGGACTCTATCAAAAGAGCCCATGGACCGAAGTCAGGGCAGAGTGCTTTGACATAATTCATAGTTATGTGCAAGTAAAACAGAGACTTCTGAATAACATTTACTGAAATTGAAGTCTTTATTTCAGTTTCTGCTGATATCTAGATTGATGTTCTGGTAGAATCAAATCAAACCAAAATCAAAGATTAGTTTGGATTGAAGTTAGGACTGAACAATTGGGCATCATTCAAAATTGTGTGCAACTTAAACATTACTGAATAACATTTACTGAAACTGAAATAAGTCTTTATTCCTGTTTCTGTTGAGTCTTTATTTAGTTTTTGTTGATATATAGATTGATGTACTGTTAAAAGGGGATGGGGGGGGGGGGGGTTAAAGCAAATATTAGTCTAGACTAAGGTTAGGACAATTGGGCATAATTCAAAACTATGTGCAAGTTAAACATTACTGAATAACATTTACTGTTGAGTCTTTGTTTAGTTTTTGCTGATATCTATTTGATGTACTGGTGGAAGGGAGGGGGGTTTAATCAAATATAAGTCTGGACTGAAGTTAGATTTGAATGCTTTGGAATATTGGAATAAATGGTATAATTATAAAAATGAAAAAATAATTTAATTTTTTAAATACACAAGAGACTACTTGGTCTTCTGTGTTGCAAATAGCCTGAATATAAGATAAAATTGGAGGCAGAAATAGTAGATAAAACAGGCATCAAACCTTGTGTAATGTTTTACTAAATGTTAAGAAGCACAGACAAGAATTTAATAAGGATGTCTGATTGCTCTGATTATATTTGTCTTAAAATAACAAAGAGACTGGCGGCCTTTTAAGTTTTGTTACTTGTATAACTTATTAAGAACATAGTCTCCGATCAAGCTTATTTTACACATTTGATTCATTGAAAAGATTCATGGTTCTTAGGTTTTTATTTGGTTGGAAAAACTACTTATCTTGCTTATTTTGATTTTCACACTATGAAGATCAAACTTAAGATTAGTAAATCACTTATCTTGCTAATTTTAGTTGAAGTTTGAGGACATAAGACTTCTTTTAAAGTTCATCATGCATTTTATTTATTCTTTGGATTAAGTGAGTGTCAAATATTATCTTTTCAGTACTTATCAAGATATTTCACTTTTCAGGATTTTATAAAATGAGCTCTACGAGGAATTAGCCCAAGATTAAGAAATTAATGCCACATTTAAATTCTAATTTTTCATTTCTCATATAAAACAAAAATCGCAAAAAATTTTATTATTCGGAAACAGCATTTGTAAAATTATTTTCAAATTATCATTTACCAGTTGGCATGACAACCGTCAATGCAAGTAATAACAATAACAAAGTAATTAGCCATCCAACCAAAATGGCCGACTTAATTAGCTATCCGACCAAAATGGCCGACTTTAATTAGCCATCCGACCAAAATGGCTGACAATGCAACGCATTTAAATGAAGCAATATAAACTATTAAATATTACAAACTCTAAGAAAAGTCATTGGCTTGAAATTTTTGAACATCAGATTATTGAGATTATTTTTCTTATGTTTCTTTTCTATAATAGCAGAAATATACTGTAACTATGTACATGTAGTTGTTTTAAAGCATGGGCATTTTCAGATTTCTACATGTATTCAATATGTCTTGGTTTTGTCATTAGCATTGGCTAAGCCAGGGGTTGGGGAGGGGGAAAGGTGTGATCAATTGTATTCTTAAAAAATCATGATTGTGTATATCTCTATTGAGTCAAATCAGTTTTCTAAACTTTGTAATCCAACATTAACAGGGTATTCATTTTATGTTCTCAAATATACTCTTTATTATTTCACTTTTGTGATTTTATAACATGGGGTCAATAGGGAATACCCCCGACCTAGAAGTCACATTTTCAAAGAAAATTATTTTTCAAAGTTGATAAATACTTATTTGAACCACATTAGTAGATGCAATTTTACATGTAGACTTCAAATATGATATCACTTTGATTAAATTTTGATTATTTAATGAAGTAAATCCAGATTATTTCTACATGCATCTTCATGCAGTCTTTTTGTTGCTGTAGCAAATATTAATGTTGAACTGTTTTTTAAATTCCAACATGAAGTGTTGGGAAATGGCATTTACTAGTATACTCACTCTTTGACAAATTTTATTTTCAAAATCATTTTGAAAACCTTAGTCAGTGTTTAAGACAAAAACTTTATTTTATAGTGTACTAAACAAAAAATTCAAAAAAAGGCCATAGTTAAGCTTTAATGTCATGTTTAAGAACCCCTATTCTTACTATTGAAAATGGATTCTAGAAATACTCACCAACACAGATCTATTTTTTAAGACTCGATCAAATTGAGTTCTTCTGAGAAAATGAGGATTTCAGCAAGGGTACATTGATTTATATGGGGACATACTTCATTGGTTAATGACTTAGCATCGGGATACCGTCATATATCCTGCATGTATGTCACCATGTTAAAGTCAATGTACCCTTTGTTGAAATTCTCTATTTTCTCTGAAGAACTCAAGTTGATTGAGTTTCAACAAGTAAATTCATGTTGGTGAGTATTACTAGAATCCATTTTCAATAGTTAGAATAGAGGTTCTTAATCAGGATACTGGGCTTGCTTTTTGGAACTTTTTTTGGTACTAATAATTGTTTTTGACATGTCATTGCAATTTCATAGAGGTGTTTTTTGACTTGTCATTGTAATTTCATAGAGGTGTTAAAAATCCAAGGATGTCAGTCTTGGATTATCGTATACATGCCAATGCAATTTAAACAGGCATGGTTATTGTTTATCATTTATTAGGTGCAACTTAAAATACTGACTTTTACATTAAATCTAGTCCTTCACAATTATGGTTAAAATGGTTGCATTTAGTTGCAATGGTTGCAAGAAAATTATTCAAACCTGCCAACCATTTGTAATGATTACAAATCATTGACACACTTTCAATGATTTGCAACCACAATTGCAATGGTTGCATCCCAATGGTTGGCAATCATTACGGCAATGGTTGGAACAATGGTTGTGCAATGGTTTGTAACCATTTGTTTTCGGAATTTCAAGGTCGGAATTTTTATAAGGGATGTCCCGCCCGCCCGACCGCACGCCCAACAGCACAAGACGACGACAATATAGCACTTTTTCAAAGTGCGATAAAAAAAATAGTACTGTCGGTACTGGGCTCACATGGTGTTGCTCTTAAAAAGAAATGGCGGCCATTTTGAGAGAAACTTGTAGACATTGTTGATAATCTAGAAATAAAGTTACCTGTATAATTTCAAGCAAATTGAGGGAACATTTATTACAGTTATGACCAAAAATGAGCTGAAAACCTGATAAAGTTTGAATTAAGGTACCTGTACAATTTGAAACAATCTAGAAAAATGTTTTTGAGTATCTGTCAGAATTTTGTTATAAAAGCATAAATTGGTGATAAAAAATTCTCTTGATGTCCCTACAGAAATCTTTAGTTTTTAAATCACAAAATTTACAATCTTGTTTGCTAAATTTTGAGAAACAATTGCTTATTCCTGAAGGGACAGTCTAGATAACACGGGCTGGTATCGAAATATTTGTCCGCTGTGACAGAGCATGCTATTTTTCATAAGAACACTAAGAATACTTCACGATTTATTTTTTAACTCATGTTTCGTTACACCATAGAAAATTACTTACTCCATGCAATGGATATATCATTTGCGGGTAACTTTCACTTCTGTTTGAAGTTCAATTACGCTGGGAAGAAAAGCTATTGAAAATGGCGCCGGAGTATCATACTTGAAAATATACCATTTCTTGTTTAACTTTCTAATGGCACAATATAGTGACACGATAATATTTACACATGGTTTCAGCATAACTAAGAAGGTATAGATGAGATGTTGATGTATTTGGTCTTTTTAATTCTTTTATAAAAAATAATTTTTAATTTTTCTGTCCGCTGTGACGGAGCAGTTGCAAATGTGAAAATGCTCCGTCACAGCGGATAAAAAATATTAATATTATTTTTTATAAAAAAAATTAAAAAGACCCAATGCATTAATATCTCATTAATACATTCAGAGTTATGCTGAAAACATATGTTAATATTATCGTGTCACAATATCATGCCATTAAAAAGTTCAAAAAAAGAAATGGTACATTTTAGAGTTTGATACTCTGGCGCCGTTTTCACTAGCTTTTACTCCTAGCGTTATTGGACTTCAAACAGAAGTGACGGTTACCCGCAAATGATATATCCATTGCATGGAGTAAGTAATTTTATTTGATATAACGAAACATAGGAGTTAAAAATCGTGAAGCATTCTCAGTGTTTTTATGAAAAATAGCATTCTCCGTCACAGCGGACAAATCTTTCGATACCAGCCTGTGGATAAGTTGTAGATAGTAGATTCTACCAAAATTTCTCTTTTCCCACGCTGCATATGGTACACAAAATAAATGGTAGTTGTTTTCTACAAAAATGTATTTACTAAATTCTTAATGTACACGCATTTTGTAATTTTCTGAATACATGTCCATATCTTTCTCATTTATTTTCAGATGTTATGTTAGTTACTTGAAATAGCACAATAATAAGCCAAAGTATGACAAAATAGCAAATAAAACATTTTGAACAAAAATCTCTTGAGGCAAATCTACAATCACTATCTTTGTCAATAACTGTCAATTTGCCTATGCAAATGCTTCTTCAAAGACAAACTAGAATCCTACTTTCAGAATAGGATTCAAATGTTCTGCTAAAGTTTTCATGATGTGAAGTAAATCCAATCCATATTCTGGCAGCATTCAACCTGCAGCTTCAGTATACAAGCATAATTGGTAGATGTATATCTGCAGAGGCCTCAAATACACTATCAATGACATCCGATGATAAAGAATGAGTGTCACAATCTGTCTGTGAAGAATGTTAAAATCCGAAGTTGAAAGATCAGCAACTGCATTACTTAGCAGTGGCCAATGGGTTTCTGAGCACTAATATAACGGAATCACCTCTAAGGAACATCTTGGAAATGTATCTGTCTTTATTCACAGGCTTTGATTTCTTCTTTCCTTTGCCTGTTTTAGGAACTTCAGTCCACATCTCTTTGACATTCTCTAGCACTAAGTTACAATGCCTGAAAAAATTCATCATTGCTTTATTATGTGGTAAATGAGTGTCTACAACTGATGCTTTTAAATTGTTTCAAATTTTCTTAAAAATAGGCAAATAAATCTCAGAAGCAAATAATTATTAACAGATTGCATTTAAATATATTCTCTTGAACATGTATTTTGTCATTTTTAAAGATGTACATGAATTGAATCCTTTTAATGTTTCAACAATGCATCAACCTACCTATCAAAAGCTTTGACTCTTCCAAGTAATTTTTTGTTGTTCCTGCAGTTGATGAGGACTTGTGTGTTGTTCTTGACAGACTGAGTGAGGACAGATAGTGGTCCAGTGTTGAACTCTTCTTGTTCTTGAGCTGCCATCTCTTCAGGTGTCATCTCACTTTTAGGTTTTGTTGCTGCCCTAAAATGTGGAATAAAAATTGTCAAACTGGAGTTTTCTAGCACGTAACTTGTAGATGTGCCACACCCACCCTGAAATGTGGTCATGGAGAACTCTGGTTCAGCTCTACAGTACTTTTCAAAACCAGATACAATAGGTTTACACACATTTCTTCCCTCAATGCAAAATTTATTAGCGAACTGGAAAAATATGTTTCTACAAAAGGAGTAGGGGCAATCTGCACCAGGTTCATTTTTTGGGTCGCTGTTTTGCACATGTGATAAAACTTTCCTCAAGAATGAGACCTATACCTGACATTTTGCAATAGTGTCAGAATTTACCGACTCTAAAAGCAAAGTGAACACCTCTGCAATTTGAGACTGCTGAAATTTTTGTGATACAGCAATCCTGTCAACTTGGGAACACCTAAAATGAGTGACTTTCTAAATTGAACACCTTCCTTCAAATTGTGAACACCTTGGTCCAAATCTGAATACCGTGGTCAAAATTTTGAACACCTAGGTTGAAATTTTGTTCGACACCTCAAGTTTTTCATGTTCGCTTTGCTTGTGTTCAGAAACTTCGTCAGGGGGGGGGGGGTAGGGAAAAAAATCAAAGGAAATGCGTGACATATGCCCATTTCGCATGAAAATTCTGAACGAACTTCGTTTTATTTGGCTTTCGTTTTTTATGTTCTTCTCTGGCAATATTTTTGCTTGAAGCGTAAACTTCCCGGGAATTTTAAGATTGTCACGTCTTGTTTGAGAACGAGACCTTGCCAAAGGCCTGTCTTTTTAGTCAGTCAACCTGTTCAAAGTACATTTAGTATTATAAATCGCATTCCAGAACAATTTAGGAAGCAATATTTTCTATCTACGTCGATTACAAAGCATGTAAGGTACGTAAATTTATATGAACAACTGAGTCAATAGGGATAAATAGCCCAACAAGAGTCGATCAGTGCTTTCAGTAGGCTTGTCCAAAAGTGCTTCCCTGGGACGGATTGATTTTACAAAATCGCGTCCCCCCTCAAAAAAGTGCGTCCCCATGAAGAAAGGTTCCCGGGAATTCAAAGTCACATTTTTGCACTGAACGAAAAAAATTGATGAAAAGTTTGCATCAGTTTTGTTATTTTTTTGGCCCAGATCAGTGTACTACACACGTCTAGTAGGTCATTAAATGATGCAGATACCTTCATTAGAAAGAGATAACTCATTTTCAACCATTAAATACAATGTTTCCTCGCGTATTTCAAAGCAATTTGCTATTGATTTTGATCGCTCAGAAAGTTTCACTAGGAGAAATCTCCGTGAGGTTCCATTTTTTGGTTCAGTTGTTTGCGCATGCGCAGCAAATCCAGCAATTTGATTAGTTAAAATTATTAAGACGCATGCGCGATTAATAATCTCGGCCAATCATAGCACTCGTACCGATTACCGCTCGGAAATCAACTACTAGTGATTGTCCAATCACGTACCTCATACTATTTTGATCGGAAATCAACTTCCGGGAAAGAAACTCCGAAAGAAAATTCTATTTCTTTTAGAAATAGAATATCCTTCGTTTATTTAGCAGATTTTGACCAAATAAAAGACTGAAGGTAAGATCTTTATCAATACATTCATCCAGAGTTAATGTTTTTGATATGACCTGCACTGCGTCCAAGTGACCCCTCATTTTCATTGTTTGGGGTCCCTATTGTAAAAACCGGGTCCTCTCCATTATGGGACGGCGTTAATGAAAGCACAGGTCGATGCTCTTGAAAAATACTTGGATCTTGATTCCAATCCTGGTATTGATTTACTCGAGTCTCTAGCCAATATTTGGCTAGAGGGGATTTCATCTGGAATACTGTGAACTCCATTTGAAAAAAGCTGGCCTTGGTGTCATAAATTTATTGAATATCTTAAAAATCGCCAGATAAATAAATCTTTAATCAAAACGGACCCCACTGGGTTACTTGATGAGATATGACATGATTTCATCAGGATTTCATCTAAAATTAAAACAAAATGGCTCCAAGAAAAACGGCGATGTTCGAAAACTGGACGAAATGTCGTTAACGTCTTACATTAGTAACTGGCTGCAAATTCTAATTTAGCGATCCAGAAGATGTGAACTAATTCACTGATCACTTTATGTGTGTTTTGGAATTTTTGGTGAGGTAATAAGAGGCTATGGAAAGGGTTCGCGCGTGCAACGTTTTAGTGGATTTTGATTGAACGAGAAACGTGAAACGCAAGTCCTGCAGGCCCCGTGCAGACGTTCATGAAGTTAACCCTGGGCATCGTGAAGTCAATAAACATTGCCTCGTGCATCGTATTTTGAATTATGAGACCTCCGTGACGCCGTTCAGTCTCGTTATTTCGTGCTACGTTTTCAGAATAAATGAAACTTCGTTCGGCGAGAATACATTTGATCCTACATTCGCTTTTGTGATACATCTTATTTGTTGACTTTGTAAACACAAATGTAATTAGTTACTATTTCTAAACTTTTCTGTTTGTAGCCAATCAGAACACCAGTTACAAACAAAGATTAAAATAAGAAAGGTGTAATACCCTCGGTACATTTTAATATTTTAATTTCTTGTCTTCTATTTGATTGGTCGAGAATAACGACTTAGAAGAAATTCAACCAATAGCAAGCCAATCCAGCGAATACAAAGATCGACCTGATATACTGAGATATCTGGACTATGCAGTGTGTCAGATAAGGATTTTTTTCTGCTAGCCATTTTGGCCACTAGATTTCAGATACCACTGGCCAAACAGATTTGGCACTAGCCAGTATAAAATTACGCTAACATCGCGAATTCTTACGAAAATCATTTATTATATCTAAAAAGTAAAGAATCAGCAATTTGTCAAACTTGTGCATCCAACTAGACTTATATCAAAGTATCATTTAATGGCCTAATAATAAGTAACACCATGATATGATGATGATTAAAAATGTATCATGGCTGGGGGAGAGGGGGGGGGGTGGTAGCATTCCCCCCCAGAAAATTGATATTTAGAACCTCTCTTGTGCAAACTGAGCATTAATGAAGAACAAAAATACACGTGGCTTAGTAACAGTAATCACCGTTTTTAGCGACGACCCCCTAATAACCATTCACCCCGTTTCAAGTTCAAGAAATATCAAGGAATAACCAAGTATTATTACCGAATACACAGAAAAAATAATTTCCGAAAGAAGTCAGCGGGTGATAATAGAGTACTTCATCATTACGTACACTAAAATGCGGAAAAAGTGGCGCATTTTGTAATTCAGTGCATCATCACGATAAATATCAATCATTTAGTGCCTCCCACATTATACTAAACCAATATTTTGATGAATGAAAAAGGAAATGTCCGAGTATAAAAAGATTTTTTCGTTTGTTGTTTTTCGGCGATAGCTTCTGCGCAGTTTTTATGCGCATCTGATCTCTTCGACCAATCAGAAACTCTCGAATAAAGAAACCCAGAACACGGCCAATCAGAGTCCACGATAGAAAACGTTTTGGGATAGATCAAGAAGGAACATCCGGATGTTCTGGATTTTCGATCTCGATGAGTTCCTTGGCAGAAATATGCCCTTATATTCAGGTTTTCAAGTCTGATTTGATCCCAGATCGCCAATATGGCAAGTGCTCCATCAAAACTGTTCGCCAGATGTATTTTCTGATGGCATTTGGCGAATGGCGACCGCTTATCCGACACACTGCTATGTGACCATCGTCTGGACTTTGCAAGCAAAGTGGAGAGCGATTTCAACGGTTTAGCGCGCGATTTATTTAACGCCTGTGAAACGTGAATGTAATGATATTTGATCTTCGTGAAACGTGAATGTAATATTTTGATGATCAAGGACGTGAAACGTGAAAGTAATTCTGATAAGTAACGTACAACGTGAAAACGTATTACCACCTGACGTGATTATGTGACAAAACCCCCTTTCCATAGGCTCTAATAAGACCAAAACTCGCAATTCAAATTGTGATGTGGAAAAATGGCGGACATACGATTTCAAATTTTATGATTACGACATGACCAGTTGTTCATGCTAGTGCTTGCAACGGTAATGGATCTCACTGCCGGTAAATTTCACCTCCATTACCTTACCGTTACCGATAATCGTTGATACTGATAATGTTCCAAAAATCCCGGGGAAAAACCTGAAAGTGAAACTAAAATATTTGGAAAAATCCTTAACGAAGCCGATTTCTCAGCTTGATTTCCCGCTCACATCAACTACAGTGGATATATTGTATCATCGTGTATCTCGTGTGTGATTGTGTATTGTTTGGAAGTCTTTGAATGATAATATAGAGTGAATTCGATCAAAATTGATCAAACTATTTGTGTTTGTTTTTACATCACCGAAATATCACGTCACGTGATTTGTTAATCTCGCGGCACGGGAGATGATTGACAGAAGTGGGTGGGGTTTTGCTTATCCTCCCGCCTTTTACGAATGCTTTGCAGTTGATTGACAGATTAGCTCTTCTAATGTGGAGATTGAAATATACATGATTGATAAAATATTCTAACGAACATTGTTTCGTAAATTTGACAATGGATCGCAATGCCAATCATCATGTTGCAGCAGCATGGCGATTATCGGCAATGGATTTTATTACCGGCAATTGAGAGTATCTACTGCCGCTGCCGACAACCCGGCATTACCGTAAGGCACTAGTTCATGCAGGAATATATTTTTACTGGATTGGAAGGCCACGATACAGTAAGGAGGTAGGGTAAGTATTGATATCTTATCTCGTTCGATAGAACGTATTTGATTTTGACGTCCCTGTTTTTGTTCAACATAATTTTTTCCAATATAAAGTGGAAATGTCACAATAAAACAACAGAACCTTTATATGTACATACAGTGCTTGCCTATTCTTAAAACCGCGAAGTAATAATATTTTTGAGATAACATTCCAAATCGTTTATACAACGTTTTTTAGAAAAAATAACGGATTGGATCTCACAGTAAACTGGGTCGTTTGAGTGCAGTTTGGTATTTTGATGTAAAATATGGGCTAATATCAGTGGATAAAAGATTGAACAATTTACACATATCAATTAAATTACTCACGCCATGATGATTGTGTAGAATTTTGTAGATTTTTAAATAATTTCTTTCTTCTCCCGAACGTAAACAAATATGGCCGCCAATTATTATGAGCACTGAACGAAATTAGGTCTGGACTGAACGAAATAAAATCTTTATGATTTTCCCCGGGGTTTAATTATAAAAAACTGACAGTTTTGCAACTCTTCAATTGTGCTATCAATGGACGTTGTGACAATGTAAGTTGACACTTGACATAAATTTCAGTTGTGAAACTAATATATGTGCACAATTTATCTTAGGTGTAGTGCTATTTTTATGAGTAGTATGCCACCAAAGGAACACGAAAAACAAGCGTTCAAGGGGGTCTGGAGGAGTCCTCCCCCCAGAAAATTTTGAAGTTTGGTTTTATTTGAAGTGTACTCGCAACCATCTGGTACGCACACCAACCATTTCTACCATTGCGATAGTCCTCTAGAAATATTTGTTTAGTGAGTCTATCATCCATTGGAAGTATACATTGGAGGCAACATATTCTATTATCTCAAAAGGAATTGAGATAGCATTACATAGAAATTTGTCAGTGAAAAAAATGGGTTCCATGCTTTTGACAATTTTAGAAAGTTACTCATGTCAAATCTGTAAGTTCAAAATTGATGTGATGTGCAACCAATGCAAGCTAAATCTGTTTTTACAGTGTAACAAAGGTTGGTTGGATCAGTAAGCATATAGCAAATGGGAGTTTTGATATTAACACAGTGAAGATGAATATTAATCAACAAATGATAATAATTCCATTTAAATAAGAAATATTTATTCACAGTCATTCTAAAGTGACATATTTGTACATATTTCAACCCTCAATGTTGAATCATACAATAAAATGACTTTGTATTGTGGTTGTCTCATCTGCATGCTTGCCAACCTCTTATTCAAGTACAACTATCTGACTATAATCTGCTAACAAGATAGTAATTAGTGATTTCCTATTCCCAAAAATTGTGTTAGTTCTCTAAAAATCATTTATTGCTGTAGTTTTCTTTACATTTGATTTTTCAGTTTACTATGTTACGCGGTATATGGCATACATTTATGGTTGCACGGTATTTGTGATACAATTGAATATGGCATAATCACCTGGGGTATCTGACATATTCCGCAAGTGAGTATGGCATATTCTGCATTGAAATATAATATAGTGAATACCTCTTATTCACATCCGTAATATGACATATTCACTCGGAGAATATGACATACACATTGCGGTATATGGCATTTACCGCGCGGTAAACGTCACACAAAATATCCTTGATTTGATTGGTTAAGAGAATCAACACTAAATGTAAAACTATAATGGATTACCATTGTTTTATCACTTCGAGCACTAAACTATGAATCCTGGAGTGATTGAGAAAGTTTACTACGTTTGCTGGTAAATGATACTTCTGAAAGTATCAGTAAGGCATTATCTGCGATCAAATACTCATGTTTTTCAGGTTTTTATCTGGTCTTTGTAAACTGTTGATTTGGTTGCAAAAGTCACTCATAAGCTTCATAATCGTAGGTTCGTTTATTTATGTATAATAATGTTTCCCTCGAAGTGTGTTTTTGCATGTAACATATATATAAAACAATACAGGTACCACCGGTGTATGTTATTCAGTTGTATTAGTTTATATATTCACTGCACCGACCTGTTGATTTAGAAATCATTATAATAATTTATAGACTTTAACCCGTTTGTTGAATCGATGTAATTGACAATTACGAACTTCTGTATTGCGTTCTCATTGGTTAATGTGTATGCCATTTATCGCAGGTGAATCTGTCATACAACGCAAGTGAATATGCCATATTCGTTGCGGAATATGACATATATTTGTATCGTGTTTATCACGTAACATACTCTATCTGTATTGTAATATAGCAAAACATTTTTCCTCTATAGTAATTTTTAAAACTCTTACCCGTCAGATTCATTTCACTTAATTTAAGCCCGAAGACTGCTATTTTTAAATAACATGTAGATGTGTTCAATGTTGTGAATACTCAAAGGAAGGCAAGTAAGAGTTCAAGAAAATAGCATTTTAAATAATAAGTTGGCAACTATGCATATACTAACATAAACTACATATACATAGCTACATGTACACAAATTCTACATAGAACTAGCACTTCTACTGACATTTAAAACCTACTAAAAGTCATTTGTATACAGTTTCACACTGGCCACATTATAATTGAGGTATGCATGTTTGGAAGCAATGAAGCATGATTCACATTTTGCAAATACATGAAGGCTCATTTAAACCATCCACAAAAATGTTGGAGACTATAACAATATGCCCCCACTCCAGGCCCCACTTCTGATGGTGACATAAACACTATTCATGATTATTTTGTCTTTGGTCAAACATGACACTACTACATTCTCATGACACTACTACATCCTCATGAACACGGCTAGAATCATTCAATGTACTTCTACTATACCGATTTCCTCAGTTCAGAATCCACAAGGTCACAAAAATCTGGGATCGAAATTCATTCATTTAAGTTCAAATATTTTTAATTTGAATTACAAAATATCCTTCATCAAATCTAATTTTATATAGACTATCATGCTAATGTGCCAATTTGTACACCTGTCTACATATATTTGAATCAACTGTACATATCCTAGGCATAGCTTGAAGCACTGTAAAGGAAGAGTTTTGGGTAAATCTATGAATTTGGCAAGAACACTTTGGAAGTTACTATCACGAATCCGAAACACTGTAAGAAGGTCATGCAGTTCTTTTAACAATGCTTTGAATGGTCTCGAAGGCTGAGAATCATTAATATATTATGCTGGTATTTTCCTATTTTGAAGACAAGCTGATAATTGGGTTAGTGAGCTCAGAAGCACCACAGCATCAAACAATAATTTGTGCAGTCCATAGCCAAAAACTTAACTTTGCTAATATACACTAGCAAATTCTGATCATGACATCAATGACAATATTCATATAATACTAAAACATTCAATTAAAATTAGACTTAACTTAGACATTTAAACATAAATGTATGATTGTATACTAGTATTAAATATCTAAAATACATGTAATAGTGAAATTCGCACAAGAAAGTGCAGCCTAGTGAAAATTGCAGTCAGATTGACATTGAGTAAACAATTGAATACATGCATATTCACAATCTGTCACATTGTAACATTGAGTAAACAATTGAATACATGCATATTCAAAATCTGACACATTGTAACAAGTTATTACTTGCTCTTAATCATAATAATAAAATATAAAAAATCTTGATGTGATAATTAGTAAATTAAATGATTAAATGTAATTATGTAACATCATTATCCCTCAATCTAAACACCTTTCACTTTTAACTCATTATACCATACATTACTGTTAATAGTATACAATGCTGTTACTCAACGTCCAGTCATTTTACTCAGTATCCAGTCATTTACCTATTGTAAAGTCATTTACTCAATGTAGTCAATCAATCATTAGCCAGTCATTTCCTCAGTTTCCAATCATGAACTCAATGTCCAGTCATTTCCTTAGTGACAGACATTTACGAGATGTCCAGTTATCCACTCAGTAACCACAACCAGGAATTTACTCAATGTCCAGGTTTTTACTCAATGTCCAGTCATTTACTCAATGTCCAGTCATTTCCTCGGTGACAGACATTTACTAGATGTCCAGTTATCCACTCAGTAACCACAACCAGGAATTTACTCAATGTCCAGGTTTTTACTCAATGTCCAGTCATTTACTCAATGTCCAGTCATTTTCTCAATGTCAAAAGCCAGTAACAAAATTTGTTATAACAACTGGATTGACTAATATGTTAGTAACAGTGCATCATGAATCATGATAAAATATAGTATTTCATATAAAATAGGACTAGGCCTATACAAAAACATTCACTTTAAAATTGCAAAGCTGTTTTAAGCAAAAACAATGTTTTTCAATAATTTCTTTGTATCATACAAGGCATGTAAAAGCATCTTCAGTGGACAGTGTCAAAATGTAGCACTTCCAATATTAAACATTGTTAATTACTGGAGGGTTTCTTAACTCCAAGGCCTTGTCGTCGAGGTCTCATATAAGCCTGGACAGGCGTAGTGATTCCCTCTCCTGTGGCCCCGAGTCCTGACCCCGGGGTCCAGCCCATATTTTGTAGCATTTGATTGCCAATGTTAGTATCTGGTATTGGATCTGCATTCAATCCAACTGGTCCTGAAAAAAGTAAATTAAGAACAAATCATGGTTTGTCAAATACAAAACAGAATATGAAACAACAGAAAATAATACAACTACAAAACAGCTCCACGTAGTAGCAAATCCCGCCAAACAAAACATGTTTTAAAAACTAGCGGCCATCTTGAAAAAAATTTCTTGAACAGAGCTCATTTGTCTTTAGATATCAGCATTTGAAATTTCGAAATTCAGTGAACACTGTGAAAGTGACATATATATTCCCCAAAATCACAAGAATGCACATAACACAAACAATCTCTGTAATATGTGAAATATCACAAGACCCTCCCACCTTCTTTAACATTCACTGGACTGGAAGGAGGAGTTTTTCTACGCCGCTTAATATCAACTGAAGTGTTTGATCCATTGCCATTGCTGGGCCATTGTGGAAACTTTGAGTTGGATGCATCTGACCATTGAAGTCTATCTTGTTGGTACTTGCTGCCATAACAACCTCCCTGGAAAACAAAATATCAGTCACATTGCCAGGTTACTGAAAGGTTTGAGGTAAACAATTCTTTTTTGACAATTTTTGAAGGTTTGCAGACACATTTATTGTACATTCTTTTTTAATACAAATACAGGTTTCTGCATACACATTAGACCAGGGTACATGTTTTACAAATCATTCTAATTAAATGCAAAAGTTCTACTTTATATTCTACATGTGTTTACACAAACAGGATTTAGTCCTCAGCAGCTGTCTGTAAAGTGTACAAGTAGAAGGTAGAATAAGACATCCTCATGCACAGATTTAATTGTACATACCTTCAACTGATCTTTAATCCGACGACGTCCTGATCTAATCTCTCTTCCATGCTGAAATGAAATGAACATGTCAAACTATAGATCAGCTCTTTATCTGTGAGAAGGACAGGATATGATGATTCTAAGAATATCAGGAGATTGGATATTATTTGGCTTTGATTTAAAAATTTTGTAAAAATTACATTATATCAAGCGACAAATAATAAGTCGCCATTTCTGTCAAATGCATCCAATATTTGAACATCATTCAGTAGGATAATAAATAGCAGTACCATGGGTACTGGGCTCATATAGGAAGGAATCAAAATGGCAGCTTTTGAGACTTTATATCTACATATCTTAAAAGTGAAACCATTTGAATCGTTGTGGAAGAAGGAATACAAATGTGGAGCCAATGTGTTACAAACAGACAGACTGACAGATGGACAGACAAGTGGGTGTTTTCAAGAGCTCAAGTGAGCTAATAAATATCATTTATGGCATTTGGTAAGTTCTAATATCTAAGAAAATCTCCTTACTGTTCCCATCATTTTGTTGACTCTAGATTTAAAGTTTCTCAATGCAGCACAGCTCATGGTTCCAAAACTCCCAGTTAAGATCTGCTCAAACTCTGGATCTGGCTTTTCTTTCTCTGCATTTTCTGATTTCTCCCACCAGGGTATAACCTTAGCTATGCCACATGCTGGCCCTGTAAGCAAGAAAGGGAATCTTATCATGGTCACAAATTGTATAAGCATAATAGGATGCTACACTAGTGATCTCAATAGCATTAAGGCAAGTGAGCACAGCACCCACCTGAGATTTTAATAATATGCTTGCACCCACCTGAGAATTCATTTGCACCCACTTGAAAATGAGAAAAATTGGCATATTTTGACCAATTTTGGTCTAAATTGTGAAAATAGAATTTTGCACCCACCTGTTATATGTATGTAATATAACAGTTAGACAATTAACAATTAAAACAAGTACTGCATTTCATTCAATGATAATAAATAGTCTTATAGCTTGAACTTAACTCTTATCATGACAGCTTCAATTCACAATGTAAATTGATTTTAAGATGTTATCTTTCCCACATTTAATTTTCCGACACTAAGCATAAATCGGAAAATTAAATGTCTTAGCAAATTAGCCACTTATACAGTACCTGACTCATGGAAGAAGTCACTTTGTTCATCATCTCCTTCCCTTGCATCATCATTGGTGTAGCTGCCTATGTCACTATGTACACTTTCACAGCTACTCCAGGAACTACTGCTCTCTCTGCAATACAAACAACACAATGGAGAATTGTTCTCAGGGAAATTACCAAGACCCATAAATATACTGTATTGGTAATCAATTGAGTGATTTCAAAGAACTGACAATGTGACCTACAATTAGAAACTCTGGTCAGTGGATTGAACTATTCTTACCCAATTCATTTTTTAAATGTTTCCATGATTTAGCTTCATATTCTTTATTTGGAAAGGTAGGAACTATAAGGACTTCAGATAATGCATTTATAATGTGCAATTGCAGTTGTTAAAACTTACCCCATAACACTACTAGTTTCCATCCGACAATTAGACAGTACAGATGCATTTGAATTTTCATCTTGGTTGGCAACAACATCACTGTTATCAAAGCTGCTGGCCATTTTCATTCTCCTCTTTCGTTTCCCTAGTGTTACATGTTGGACTTGAGTTTGAGTATCGTCATTTGGTTTAGAGTCATTTGTGTCAGAGTCACATAGGTCTAAATCCGAAGTGTTTTTTGTCTTTGATTTTGATTTTTTGGTAAGTGTTCCATCGTCAACTATTATAGATGGCCCTGCTAACCCTGGGTGATCTGAACTGACATCTATTGCCATACGCTTGCACTTTCTACGCCTACGGTGCACCCTGATTGGAGAGAAGTTCTCTGTGAAAGAATCTGATTCAAATGAGACATGATTGTTGACCAATGGAAGGGAAACTGCTGTGAGTCTCTTAACAGCCAACAAATCATCAGAGTCACTATAAGCTAACATGTTTCCCATGTATCCTTTCAATGCTTCGTCCAAGCTGCTTTCAGAGGCTTCACTAAATGCTTGGTATTTTTTGTTCAACCGTTTTCTACCTCGTCGTTTTTTACTGTACCTCCTAACAGGGGGTGTGACTGATAGATTGTCCCCACTCAGAGACTTTGTCATCTTAGAAGTCTCCTCTAAAGCATTGGCGAGATCATTCACCTGGAGTTACAACATGTATCAAAATAGTCAGTTTCAGATTATTCTATTATTACATTAAGATTGTAGCGTAATTTCATGATAACAAGGTATCTTTTCTAGCACCTTACTGCCTGTTGACTTAAGATTACAAATACAATGATTTATTGAAACGTAAATGACTCGTGAATGTATTATATTTCAAAGGAGCTGCCTTACCAGTGCATCCATTCTTCTTAGTTCTTTATGCGATATCACCTGCAAGTTCTGAAAATCCTTCACGATGCTGCTTTCCATTGTGTATGTGTATAAGGAGCAGTAGGCTCATGACATTCTGAAAAAGTGTTAATTAGACTGTTAATTCACCAAGCAATACTCTAGTATGCATTTTGTAATAGCAAATAACACTAACTTGAAGATGCACATATCAATCAATTTAGACTTATCCTGTGCCAGGACAATAGTCCTGTACCAAGCGTACTCTTTTGCCTGTACGATTACAACTTTGGGGAATTATCTACGCCCCTTACACTTAAAGGGACCCAACACCTTACAAAACTTCTTAACGGAGAGGAATAAGGGAAAATGCTTGCCGGATTCTGAATCTGTGTATTTTTTAATGATTTTTCACCGTCTTAGAATTTCAATTTTTTTCTTTTGAAAAAATGAGATTTGCATTGTTTTCCAATTAGACAAATGAGTAAACATGAATAGCTCGAAATCTAACGGTGAGATTTTGTTTTAAAAAATCATGGATATCAAGGCTAAATATAGCCATACAATAAACATGAAAAAGCAATGCTTGGACTCTTCATATTCACACAAAAAATTAATTAGTAAATGAGGTTTGATATTTGTGAGAATAAGTTGTACGAGTCGCAATGCTCTACAAACACCAGACTACAGGGTGGATTAGGATCAATGACACACATAAAAATTAATTTAAAAATATTTCATGATAATTATCTCAAACAAAAGCAGTTAGCGAAGGATACATTTCATTACACTCAATAAATAGTTATCACTTTTGACTATATATACATATCTCATGGGAATGTATTTCTATCTGCTCAAGATATCATATTTTAGCTTCGAAAATCACAATCGTTGGATAATACATTTGTCTCAGAATGATAGGCCACCCTGTAGCAATGTAGCTTTCACTTGAAGTGTACCCTTGAGAATAATGAACTTACTTTCAAATTGGTCTTGCTTTTGTGGTGTATGTGGCTTTTTAGCAAATCTGCCACGCTCATTTCTTTCCAGAACCATCTTGTTCACATGTAACACTAGGCTATACGCGCATGTATAGACAGATGACATAGATATACATATAAATTATATATTGCACCTGTATTTACTTACATGGGAATATTCCCTTTGGAAAAATGCAAATGCATGAACATATATTTTCATCTTATATATGACTTCAAGCTAACATATTATTTCATATTTATATTTTCATAGTTAGTCTAACATAAATAATAGATCCATGAGAACAATATTCTTTGTTTTCTTAAAAATTGATGGGTTTACTGTGAATTCAATAAATTACAATTTGCAAGGGGTAAGTATACTGTATGACCTTAGTTGCAAAGTACTGTTTATATATGCAGCTCAATAGCATAAAATATGTTGAATGAAGCATATGGTATGGATTAGTCGTGTGACACACAAACTGACCAATACATGAGGGTATTAGCTACTTTTCACAGAAACCAAAGGAGGACAGTGCTTTTATTTCAACTGGGAGCTTACCTCCACACGACTGATCATGTGACCATGGTGTTGGGTCCCTTTAAGATACCTACTTCAATAGATTCCTTGGAATTTTAGCATTCTTTATGTGTAGTTGAATCCACAATTGTCTGGGTTTATCGGCAGAACTAAGAAATTTTTGTTTTTGATCACAATATTTGTGTGTAATATTTAACTTATTTCAACCATCAACTTCCTCCATTTATTGGTACTTCCGGGCCAGTCAAACGGAGAATCCCCTTTTAAATCCAACTGCCATCTTGAAAAGTGATGGAATCTCTCTCGATCAAAAACGAAAATTTCTTCATTCTGCCGATAAACCAGCCAATTGTGGATTCAACTCCACGAAAAGAATGCAAAAATACCAAGGAATTTATTGAAGTAGGTATCTTAAGTGTAAGGGGCGTAGATAATTCTCCAAAGTTGTAATCGTACAGGTAAAAGAGTGCGCTCGGTACAGGACTATAGTCCTGGCATGGGATAAATTTAGACAGTTTGAAATAAATTGCTTGTCAGAAACTGTCAATAGACTCTACAGTTCAATCTAATATGTTCGAAATTGCATGGCAAATAAAGTTTGAAGCAGCAGAATATATTCAAAAACTATATACATGTAATTTTGAAGCAGCAAAATATATTCAAAAACTATAACTCTAAAATCCACAGGGGCTTGTCTCGAGGCGTCGGGCAAGCCCTCCGATGAGTCTACTGCTTATTAATAGTATTAAGGGTGGTCGGTTTTGATGCTACCTGAAATTTGTAGAAAATGATTGTTAGATATATCAAGTAAAAATATATGGAATCCTTTCAATAATCGACATGCTGATTCAAACAACACTAAAGAGTAAACTTACCTAAAATGGTAGCAATGCATCTACTTGTTGCTGAGAAATCTGAATAATTTGTTAAGAAGTGATTACACTGCAAGAACCGAATTTTTTTGCAGCCAAATTATTACCTCCAGAGTCGATTTCTTCCCCAAGACACGTCCACTGTTAAAAATTGGTAGTTCCTAGAGTTCTTTGTTTCCTTAGGTTCATTCCCGTATGTTATTTTTAACGAAGGACAGCCTATAACGACTGCTATACGCAAAAAGATGCATGAAATTAAGTTTCGAAACTGAAAGTTGAAAAATGGCGACTTTCCCGTGTTCTATGCGCAGGTGTGTTCAATCAAGCAATTTGATTAGTTCATATTATATGAACGCATGTGCAATAACTACACATATATTTTTAGATAGATGTCACTTGCGTTCATTATTTCACAGCAGTCCCTTCCCATGATGCACCTAATATTGCGGAAATATTTTCCTTTAGTGATAAAACAAATAACTCTCATCTTCGAAATATGTTTTCCATTCCTTGGCAATAATCTTTCATTTGGTATCTAAGTATAACCGAACCAACCGCCGAAAAGTAATTCGAATCCTTCTGAATTGTGGGAATGAAGTACTTTCATTTTTGCACATGCGCTGCGCATGCGCATAGAACACGGGAAAGTCGCCATTTTTCAACTTTCAGTTTCGAAACTTAATTTCATGCATCTTTTTGCGTATAGCAGTCGTTATAGGCTGTCCTTCGTTAAAAATAACATACGGGAATGAACCTAAGGAAACAAAGAACTCTAGGAACTACCAATTTTTAACAGTGGACGTGTCTTGGGGAAGAAATCGACTCTGGAGGTAATAATTTGGCTGCAAAAAAATTCGGTACTTGCAGTGTAATCACTTCTTAACAAATTATTCAGATTTCTCAGCAACAAGTAGATGCATTGCTACCATTTTAGGTAAGTTTACTCTTTAGTGTTGTTTGAATCAGCATGTCGATTATTGAAAGGATTCCATATATTTTTACTTGATATATCTAACAATCATTTTCTACAAATTTCAGGTAGCATCAAAACCGACCACCCTTAATACTATTAATAAGCAGTAGACTCATCGGAGGGCTTGCCCGACGCCTCGAGACAAGCCCCTGTGCTAAAATCACATGCAAATCGTGAAAAAAGTGAACAATTTTTCATTTTCAACAAAAAGATTTCGAAATCTTTAGACATTTTGACGATTTTGCAATGCATCTACTATCTTTGACCAACTGATATTATGTAAAAGTGATTTATCTTAAAAATTATACACTTACAGTAAAATAAACACCTAATTCGACGGCAAATCACACGATTTATTGATAGTTTTAGGACTCGCTGAAATATTTTCCACCATTGTTGTTTGGATCTCGCGTGATTATCGTGAATATTTAGTAGTCACGTGACAAACCCGGTAATAAACATTTGTAAACAGGTGCCCGTGTAAGATGGATCCAACAAAATTTAAGCAGCAAGTTAAATATGAAAACAGCACGACTAGGTGAGATAAAATGGATCGTTATTGAGTAACTTACTTTATAAGTATACTTGACGTATTTTGGTGTATATTTTTGAAATATTATATTAGTAAAAGTGAACTTAGAAGGCTATAAACAGTTGGTTGCCATGGGTTACTGATAAACACATTTTGAACATTCATGTACTAGGATAGATAATCTATCCAAATTACAATGTAAACTGAATTGTGTGTCTACTATCTGTTGACTGTATCTTCCTTCATCATATTTCTCCAAATTTTAAGTCAAAAATGTTTAATTTTGCCAAAGTAGTATTTAGTACAGGTGCATTAAGCATCTATGAAAAGAAAGACCATCATTATGATCATATTAATTCATTGTCAATGAAGCGTTAAAAATAGCAAAAAGAAGTCATTCCATGTACTTATATCTTCGACATAAAAAAGATCTCGAGAAAATTCACTTTTTGATTTCAATATATTACTCTACATTTATAATTTTATTTTATGTTTGCAGGAATCCTAGCTATTCCCGTGCTCACAATGTTGTCCCCAGACTCTACGTCCCAGAGTGGAAAACAGATATGAAAAATAGAAAATTAATTGTAAAGGTAATGAATTATTTAGTAGTTGATTTGGAAGTAAATACCTGTAAGACAGAGGTTCTATGATAATTAAATAACTATGCAGGCCTTTTCTAAATGCTTTGGCAGAAGTAGAAAACACACGCAGCAACTCTTATTAGTAAACGTCACTGAACAAAACATATTTATGAAATCATTTATCAGATCAAAAATAACATCTCTTCCTGTATTAAACCTTTGTGCCCAGTTTTTGATAAAAGAGAAGTCAAGCTGAAACTATCTTTTACAACCTAAGTGTGCACATGACCATAGGAATGTATGTGTCAGTGTGTAGCACTCATACTTTGTACAACTTCAATACTCATTCAGTTTCAGTGTTTCATGTGTAGAACAGGAAAATGAAATTACATATAGGTATCTGCAGGAATGATTGTACTGAACTCATGTTCAAGCTTATCCTCCCTCATTAAGGCCCATTTTCTAAAGTCGATTTTCTCAATAATTTTTCCACATATGATTATCTTATCAGAATTGCAGTGAAGTATGTAGATAGGCAGAGCAAAACACCTTTTATCCTGTGTATACATGTCCTCTCCAAGCCTACAGTATGTAAAAGTAGAAAAATAAAATATACTCACAAATCATAGTATTTATGATGACACCTTTTTAATTTTTTCCTTTTTAAAATTTTTAGATATTTAAATACTCATAGTTGAATCCTTAAATTTCAGAACACTCAGCTTGGAAATTCTGTAGCACACAGGGAGCATGATGAAAACTTATTCCTTGACAAACGTGAACAGATGAGCTACAATGTGGAAGATAGAATACGAGTAGATGGAAAATACCAAGTTCCAGATCGAGCTGAAATGCTACGTCCACAATTCCACCATGAAAGCTCTAGATATCAAAGTGAACTGATGCAACGTAGAGACACTGAAACATGCCCTATGCCAGATATGAACACACATGCAACTTATTATTAGGGCATGTATAGTATTTCATAATTGATCATATAATTGCAGTCATTCAACCATCCTCATACGTGTCCTCGTTGTAAGCAGGCAGTTATTAGAGAGTGGTCGAACTGTCCTGGAACTGGACACAGATATCATAATCATTATTATAGTAGATGGGTTAAGTACATTTGGACTTCATTGTATGATGCAAATGTCCCCTTTGGCATGGAAGTACCTTAGGGCAATATAAATAAATTTATCCAAAGACACAAGCTAGATGGCGCTTTATATTGGAAATATACACATTTTTCAAAATGGCCGCCAAAAATTCATCAGAGACAATATTTTTGATTCTGTGCATGCTACAATTATAAGATTGGTGTAAAAAAAGACAGCGATGTAGTCGTAGAATCTATTTTATTAGATCTTGAGTCTTGAAAATTAAGAACTTCCACTTTATATTCAAAATATACGCGTTTTTCAAAATGACTGCCAGAAATATAACAAAGAAGATATCTTGCCTTACGAATACTTACAAATTAAGATTTTTTACCTTACAAAATGTCCCCTTTGGCATTGACATACCTTAGGGCAATAGAAACAAATTTACCCAATGACACAAGCTAGATGGCGCTTTATATTGGAAATATACACATTTTTCGTAATGGCCGCCAAAAATACATCAGAGACAATAGTTTTGCTTCTGTGCATGCTACAATTATAAGAGTGGTGTCAAAAATATATTAATGTAGTTGTAGAATCTATTTAATTAGGTTTCGAATCTTGTAAATTCAGCACTTGCACTTTATATCCAAAATATATGCATTTTTCAAAATGGCTGCCAGAAATATAACAAAGAAGATATCTTCGCTTCTAAGCATACTGCAATGATAAGAGTGGTGTCAAAGTATACATAATATTGGGTTGTTGAATCCATTTAAATAGTTCTTTCAAAATAAGAATTTTCACTTTATAGGAAAGTATGCGTTTTTAAAAATGGCCACCATAAATATAACAATGATGATATCTTCACATCAGTGCTTGCCACACTGATGTAACGATTGGTGTCAAGATTTTATATTTATGGGGTATGAGAATCAATTTTATTAAGTCTTGTGAGATTATAGTTTTCACTTTGCATTGGAAATATATGCAGCTGAAAATATAACAAAGATTGTATCTTTGCTAACAAAGATTGTACCTTTGCTAACAAAAATTGTATCTTTGCTAACAAAAATTGTATCTTTGCTAAAAGTTTCTTTACTTCTGGGCATAATATTTCATAAAATTGGCTTCAAAATCTACATTTTTTGGGAATGTAAAATCTATTCAATTACTCAGATGCAAGTACATGTAGGTAGTCACCACTTTCCCCACCAGGTGGTTAATTCGGGTGAAATAACATTGCAGGGTATTACAAAGTTCCCTTGAACTTGAATATTCTTAATTTTTAGTGGTTCACATTTCATATCACTCTTTTGTATCTGATAGTTGTACAAACTAAAATATCTCCAGTTAAAGAAAATATTATCTGCACAACACAAGAAAAGATATTTCACTTTTTGTGTTTTACAACATGGGGACTATGGGGAATATCCCTGACCTAAATGTCACATTTTCGAAGAAAATTCAATTTTTAAGTTGATGATTATAATCGTTTTCGCCTTAACACAGCAAATGTGTATTTATCTTTCAATGTTCTTTTTACTCAAATTCACCAAAAAGACCAGTGCCTCTTTAATAACTTGCAATAAACATGCATATGCAATGGTAGTGCAACTTAAGTTGTTGCAATGCAACATACATGTGATATGTGATATGACATGTGAGAAATGTGATAGATAGAAACCACTCAGGACAGACATACATATGTACCTACAGTTAGAAAGGGCCAGAAACCTTCTGGCGAGAGAAAATCTTGGAAGATCGGAATAGATTTCAAGGGCTGCATATTATGACAGTATTGCAGAACCCTCTTCATATCCTCTGACCAAATCATGGACGATGTCTCTGTTTACCGAGTCTTCCACTAATCCAACCAACAAACTTTTAAGCTTGTTGTTGATTGGCAACCATTTTGAAAAAGACATGTATGTACACACATACAGCACTGAATATTGTCATATTGAGAAAAATATTCTTATTTTCTCATTTCAACATTTAAGAGATTAAAGATTTTAAACGGCAATATGTCTTTCACCATGAGTACTTTCTGGCCATAAATACAGTGTTCATTATTTAAAAAAATGTGTTTTATTCCAAGTGAAGTCCCCATGATTGTAGAATATGAATCCAACTTTCTGGAAAATTATGGATTAGGATCCCATCCCTTGACACTTTTTTAAAATGTTAAGCTTATTTTGTAAAAAGATGATCTTGTTTTTTTCAATTAAAACATATCAAAAGTTGCCTCACTTTATATCAACAATTACTTAAAAGGGGACGGTATTTGAAATGCACTGAAGTTGAAAACCACATCTCCCATGCTATCCATTGTTTTCAGCATAGTTTCCATCATCGCAAATTGATATTCAAAACTACACTTTCAAACTATTCTACTTTTGAAGATGTATAAGAGCCCTTATTAGATATAATTTTTTGTAATATTTTCCATAGCCATTGAAAAAAAGGCATACATTTTCAATAAAAACTGAAAATGTTTGTTAACTAATAGACATACAGTACAATATCAGAATTTCCGCTGATTTCAACATTTTGGTGACCATTTAGTCAACGCTAAAAATTATATTTAGACAATAAAAAAATTGAGATCTAATTTAATATAATGTAACCATACCTTGACGACATATCTAGTAAGTAATAGCTAATCAACTCCTTCTCTGGGACATTTTGAATTTTCTGAGGCATTAATCATAAAATTAACACCATCTTCAATTTAAATGAGTACATATGGCCATACTTTGAAGGAATCTGACAAAAATTGCAAAATCATACATAAGACAGACGATGTTCTGACAGACTGACGGACGGAGGGCTTCACTACATCCCTACTGAACTTTCTTCGTTGGGAAAATAAAGACTATAAACCTTATCAAATGAATTCTACCCCCCATTAATGTATACTTGAACATCAATCTTACTATTGTAGCATGCATAACAAGTGAAGATATCATCTTTGTTACATCTCTGGCAGCCATTTTGAAAAAGGCATAATTTTTTGATATAAAGAGGAAGTTCCTAATTTTCAAGTCTCAAACCCATACTAAATTGATTCTTCACTCACAGTATGTATTTTTAGCCACCAATCGTATCATTATAGTATGCATAGAAGAAAACATATTGTCTCCGTTGTATTTTTGGCGGCCATTTTGAAAAATTTGAATATTTCCAATATAAAGCGCCATCTGGCGTGTGTCTTTGGATAAATTTGATTCTATGGTCCTAAGGTACTCTCATGTCAAAGGAAACGTTTGCATCATAGATTGAAGTCCTGACCCCCTAAAATGCAGTTAACCCATCTACTATTAAGCATATTTGAAAACCAAGTTTATCTTTTAATAGACAACCCTGGATATATAGACCTTCTCTTTACCTATATGGATTCACTTCTCTTATTTAAAAGTCTGTCACCTTTACTTGTGTATAAAATAATATGCTTATTACACAAATCAGTATTACAAGGGGGAAATTTGGACAGAAAAGAAGATACAAAAGAAAACAAAAATATCTTTTTTTACAATTATTCTATATTTTCTGTATTTCACAGTGTATTGCACATACAGTATAAATAAATTTTATGTTTTATAATTAATATATGTATAATATAATATATTGTATTTATGTTTATTTCATAATAATATTTGTATCAGATTACACCCAAAATCATAATTGAGATTCGGAAGCACTGACTTTAACACAACTTCATGGCATCCTTTTAGTAGTTGTAAATGTTGTTTATTGAAAATCAATGAACAGTTAATTACATTGATGGTCACTATTCACAAAGTTCATCTCTCAATCGTTTATACATTTTTAATTACTCTAACAATATCATGCAAGTATCAAAAAGACAACATTCACTAAATTAGCCACAATTTTGCAAATGATTGTTTGATTGCACAAGAAAATGTTAAGTCTAACATCAAGACTGTGGAGCCCCTAGGGCTTGTAGCCAGACTAGAAAATGTTTATTTTTCTATATATTGTACTTATATTTTCTACTCATCACCTAGTACATATTAGTAATTACTTATTGGCCTCATATATTGTTTGAATATCTTAATTTATATTTATCATGTACGGTAGACACTGCTAAGTGGAACACCTCGCAAGTGGAACAAGTTTTTAAAAGTCCTACTGCCCATCTACTCCATGTTAGTGAACCTCTGTAAGCGGAACACCTCACAAAGTGGAACACTTAGTGGTCCCAAGAGTGTTCCACTTACACAGATTCTCCCGAGGTACTTTTTATTCTACGTACTTTTTCATAAATATCTTACATAAATTGTACAAACATATTACCAGATGATACTCCTAACAGAGCTTAAGACAGAACAGACCAACTCATCCCTCCTTACTCACTGCTTGGTCTAATACTAAGCTTGTTTATGAAGGTAGATATATTTCACTTTTTCACAACTTTCCGATGTACCATAAACTGGTGCAAAAATGTTTAATGATTTAAATGAATAATGCTATTGTAAAAGTATACAATATAAATATTTTGTACATCTCTAACAGCAACTGCTATACATATACAATATATTCACTTTTGAAAATGATATTGTACCCTATACTGAATCAATACACACATTTTCATGTTTCCTACAAAAAACAACTCTGCTTTTGTGCTTTAGAGTAAATTCACATTGCACATCTGACATCAGGATACACATTCCTTGATTGCACACCTGTAAACATGATTTCATGGCACATTCATTTTTCACAAGATTTCACATTTATGTTCTAATTCAATATGAGATTCCAAAATAGATCTATAAGTGAAAAAATGAGATTCTACATCAATATATCATAAAAACCATAGTGAAAGAGTTTATTGTCATAAAAATGTTATAATTATGATAGGTTCTGGACCATTATAAAGATGGCAGCACCAACAGAATTCAGTATTATCTTTTTTATAAATAACAGATCGATTACCATGTCATCTTTATTTAAAAATTATTTCTATCAACCTTAGCCTATGATAATTATACAAGTCTCATAAGTTTCAAATAATGTTCTCATTTCTCGTCTATCTTCCAATTCATATACTTAGCGTTGAATTGTTAGAAAGTTAGAAAACAAAGTCACCTTGATTTCAATTTTCTTGATCTCATACTACATTAGCAATGTAGCATTCAGATTGTATACATGTGCTACTATAGCATTTGATGACTGAAATTCAATTTGTCCCATGCATGTATGGTATAACTGTGTAGCTTGTAGCATTCATTCAGACAGTATCCAGTACAAGTATCACTGTATAGGATTTAGACCGTATACATGTATAACTGTATAGGATTTAGACTGTATACATGTATAACTGTTTTAAAGGATTTAGACTGTATACATGTATAACTGTGTAGCATTTGACGACTGACATTCAATTTGTCCCATCTTGAACTCCAGTTTCTTCAGCCACTTAAGAAGCACAGTTGACTTAAATGAAGAGTCAGCATAGTCCTTTGTTTGCTTAGGGGGCTCCCAATTCTGACATGTCTGTAGTCTGACATGGGCATTACCCTGAAGCTGGAAACACATAAAAAGAAATTCACATTAATGTACACATGGGCATGTAGGCATTGCACAAAACATCTAGAGTTCATCAAATGGATAAGTGTGTCTGAAAAGTCACCTGTAGTTCCATTTATTGAGCATTCAACTAATAAAATATCATTTAAAACCAAATTCTCTACAAATTGATTTGCATGTCTGTAATACTGTATCAGTATGAACATAGTCTATCAAGAGAGCTTCATACCATACTTCATACCATAGGCTATCAAGAGAGCCCATGGTATGAAGTGCCACATTCATACTATCCATATACTGTAAATTACAGATAGCAGCTGGAATAAAGCAAGCTACATGTACTCAAATGATCAAAGATACCATACCCTGGATTTGCATGAACAAAATGTAATCTTTATGGTATGCTATAAAAAACATTTTTATGAAATAAAGATGGCAGAATGTTATGTGGGCACAATTTATCTCAAGGAGGATTGGAAGCCAGGGTTCCAACTCGATATTCTTTAATCTCCACGCATGCGTCATTTGCTATTCGTGTCTGTATAATTTGTACGACTGCATGGAGAATGACCCGATACTCTCCAACAAAGCTATCGCTAGGTGATTGTTTTGCAGAATATCGGTGTTGCATTCTGGGAGCCAATCCTCCTTGATTTATCTATTACAAATCCAGACCAGATAAGAATGCCATCTATAATATGAATGAAATGTTTTTATATTGATAAACTTGATCATGATATTTACTTGTACTGAAGCTTTGTGATAGTGAATCAAATATGTTTGCACTTTCAAATCTCAAACACTAACCTGGCCGTGATAGGAGTAAAGTATCTGTGTCCACATGGGAAGAAGCTTACACAAAACGGCTGAGTTGCACTCATGTAGGGCCTCCATCAGACTTAAAAAGTGGAGGTTCACCATCTCAGCCAGCTATAACACATGGAATCAGGTCTTGTAGTTGATATGAGATATTATAGGAATATCCTATGGCTTTGAAAAAAAATCACTTATATCCATGAGTGGATATCGATATCTTCGCGAGTGAGCGCAGCGAATGAGTTACGATACTGATATCCATGAGAGGATATAAGTGATATTTTTGAAAAACCATAGGATTGTCCGTTTATCCCATGGGGAATTATTATCCAGCGAACATTGAATAGTCAGATTTTTAACAAGATTTATTTCAACACTAATATTCACAACAATAAAATACTCACACAAAATATAACAATAATTCAACAAACGTCATAATTGTGAGGTAACAGGGTGGTTTGTATTTAATGCGAACGCCGTAAAAATAAGATCCCAAAAAATATATAAAGAATCGTTTTGCTGAATTTATAAAAAAAATTGAAAAATCATAACCATCGAATATCACTTTTGAAACCATCGAATATCACTTTTAAAACCATCTAATATCACCTTTCAAAAAGTGATATTCCATGGTTTCAAAAGTGATATTCGATGGTTTGGGAATTGTTGGGCTAAAATATATGATATCTTCATCCATGTATCAATTATATCTTCACGTGATATTCGATCTATATCTTTGTAACCATGGGATAAACATCATAAATCATCACAAATGACCAATACAATTGTTTAGAATTTGTAAACTCATCTGTATTACAATCTAATGTGACTGAATCAAACGCTTTGACATCTCCAATTTTTCGTTGAAAAACACATTTAAAACATATCTGCATAATACATTGAATCATGGGCATTCAAGAGATATTATTGAATGTTTTCTCATGTGCATACTATTTATGTATTTTACTCAATTCATTAAATACATAACAATTCTGGTAGTTACCCTCCTTTGTTGCATCAAACTTACCACTTTAGAGTGTGAGAGTAACTGGAGTACACCAGGGGTAACTCTCCCCCAGAAGTCCATGATGGTCACAGAGGCAGCATGGTGGTCCTCACTGTGTTGGGGATGTAGGGCGGCTGCACACTCACAGTACATGGTCCATAGCTGAAATAGAACAGACGTATTGGAGGCTGAATACATTAGACTGCTTTGGAAAAGGGTTAATTTGAATCAAATCAAATCCTGCGCTAAGGGGTGATATGAAAGTCAGTCCAGCTTTAGCGAGATCCCATAACCTCCAGATTACATGTCAAGTGCTGTAAGTTAACCACTTGAGTTACAGAGCGAACTGATTCTCACATCAACAATGGATTTATGGCATCACAATCACAGCCATGAATTACACGCCAAGTTTCCTGGACCCATTATTAAGTTTACCAGCCAATCCATTAAGTCTTTCAGGTTGTCAATCACACTACCGTATCATGATGTCACAATATGTGTATATGCTAAGGAAAAGTTATAACTAAAGTAGGAATCAAAGTTAGATATATGTCTCTGGCTCTCCCATTAATTCCTAGGAATAGAGGAGACACGAAAGTGCCGTACTGTCTAATATATATAGTCTAATATAACATGTATATATAGGTTATTTCATGCTTGATTTTCAATATGAATTTTATTCCAGGGTAATATGATATTGACCGAGGGAAATATGATATTGACCGAACGAGCGTAGCGAGTGAGTGTCAATATAATATTTTTGAGAATTCAAGGAAAAAAGAAATATTAAAATATTGAAAAATTTTGATAAAATGATAATTTTGGGAAAAAAAATATGAAAAGTTTTGAAAAAATGAAAATGTTTAAAAAAATAATTCAAAAATTGCAATTTTTGAAATAAATGAAAATCTTTTAAAAATTGCAATTTTTTGAAAAAATGAAAATTCGAAAAAATCCAATTTTGGAAAAAACATTTTTTTTTGAAAAAATGAACTATTTTGAAAATATAGGGACAATATGATTTTTCGAGTATATATGATTTTTTTTCCAGGGACAATATGATTTTTCGAGTATATATGATTTTTTTCCAGGGACAATGTGATTTTTCGAGTATATATGATTTTAAGAGGGATAATATGATTTTATTTCCCAGGGAAAACAGTAGTATTATGGAATAAAAATATGTAAAACATATATGAACTTACCTGGCAGAGTATAAATGCGTGGAACAATGATGACATGTGGAGCACTGATGCCTAAAATATAATAAAATATACTTATTATGTGGTATGTATATAAATCTATTGAATTTATAACAAAAGACAACATTCTTTTTATTTGTCTCATCATTAAGAATTGACATGTCGCTATTGTATAACATATAATAACATTTTGAATTTCAATTCTATCTACACACAATTAATAGGTTAATATATTTATTACTGATGCTAAAGCAAAGCAGGTGACTTGGAGAGTTTCTTGGTAAAAGTTCGAAATCATGTAATTCATAACACAAATAATCTTACCAAATTCAAATAATATTAGACTATATCTCACCAGTCAAATTGAAGCATTTAGCGAGAAGACTAGTCAAGCTACAAGCCCTTGTGACACTCCGCCACTATAACAAGTGTGAGAAGGTTTGTAGTCAAGAAGGGGGTGGGTCACAGATGCTTGTAGCTCGACTATGATAAGACTTTGATTACCAAAAGCATGCATGCACAATTAAATAATAAACTGTTTTTTAAAGCAAACACAAACTATTTTTGGGTCTGCAATCGTATACTGCAACTACAAACTTTACCACTCTATACATGATCTATTCTTTTTGTTTATTTACTAATGTACAAGTATATTTACATACATACATAAAAAATAAATATGTACATAAAAATAAATACATGTTGCATAAACACTTTTTCTTTCATGCTTGCAAGACTTCTTATTTAGCCTTGGCAGTAAAAAAAGAATCAAAATAAATGACATCTAGGACACTGTAAATCACTAATATAACAAATCATGGTTGCTATGACATTTGCACGATTGCTATGAAATATGTACATGGTTGCTATGAAATTCATACATGGTGGCTATGATATTATTTAAAGGGTTCCGATTAGCATCCCGTATAAAAACAATATGGCGGCTCCAGGCGAATCAACTGGATCAGTCCATTTTTTAGAAATAAGGGGAGTTCTGAAAAATCCAGTTTATTGAAATTGTCTTTGAGATAAAGTAATCCGTTTATAATGATTTTGAAAACGTTATCCAAAGAGTGATTGCGTTCAAAGAATACATGCACAGCAGCCAATATAAATCCTTGTATTAGAAACCGGTTTGTCTTGCTTTGTTTCATTTGTAGGATATTTCATATGCCAAGCTGTGTGCTATTACGTTATGGGGAAATTTAGATGCCAATTTTTCCTTATTGTACACAAATAGAAGAACCTGAAACTTCACCCATAAATGTGGAATTGATTTGTCAAAATAAACATCACCCTTTTATAAATGTGTGACGATCTGTAATATACTTATGCTATATAACAGTTAGAGGTGTTGACACAACGACTTCGAACCTGTGAACCCTTGAGTATTATTCCGGGATCGGGCCTTTTATACTAAACGGTGAGCAACACAAGAAACGAGCTTCCGATTTGCTAAACGATATGCGTCACCCTTTAAAGTACATCTAAACTATGGTGTTGCACATGGTCACTATGTTATTGTACATGGTTGCTATGTCATTGTGTATGATATTGTTTAACACCATTTTGACATAGTTCATGAATATGGTCACTATAACATTGTACACGGTTGTTATGACATTGTGCACAATCACTATGACATTGCAAATAGTCTCTATGACATTGTGCATTACCAATATATGACACTCTAAATGACTACTCTGACATTGTACATGGCAACTAGAACATTCTGCACGACCTCTACTACACCGTACAAAGACCACCACTATGACATAGATATGAAGCTTACTTGATGTGCCAGAGCTGACTTTGCCGGCTTCTCTGCAGCCTTTTTGTGCAACAAACAAGAGAATATAATGCTTCATGCAACAAAACAAAGGCTGACCAATAGTACAGATAACTACTGAACACCCTTTGTCCCTTTATGTGTAGATTATATGGATATCAGAGGCTCCGTGTTGAAAAAGTGAGTTATTACATATTTTAGTAAATATGTAAATCTAATGCAATAGGCCTAAAAATAATTTTGTTCAATTAGAGGTTTTTGCTACCCTTTGCAGTCATTTGACTTCGCTTCTTAAAAGAGAGCTTCGTCTTTGTTTATAACGTTCATTTATAACGAGACTGCATTGACAGTAGGCTTTGGAGTTGTATTAGAGAATGATAGCAGAACATGGCTTCAGATAAGTACTACAACTTGGAGTCTCTGTCAAACAGGGATACAGACTTAAAAGCTTCAGGGGTCAGAATTTTGGAGTTGAGTAAAGAGGATACACAAAAATCTTTGAAATTATCCCAAGTGATATTAATAGATACAATCAAACTGAAGACTCATCAGATCGACGACATCACAAATTCAGAGAGTAGATACTGAGCTAGGGGACTCGACTATAAACCCTCATAATCTACTAAGTATAGAATAAATCAGTTATTAGATGCTCGATTTTTGATACAGGGTATATATTGTATTTCCCTCAGATATACCCTATATCAAAAACCTCCCATTAAGTAACCTCAGTCTCTATATAGACCTTTTATTTGAGATATTGAGTATATCCTCTTTTCTTCTCAAAGGTTATTAATTATTCCATACAAGCATGCATTCACAAATTATGTTTATTTGCAAAAACATGATTTGGTTACGTTTTTTGTAATATTTTTACACGACTTACACAATGAGGTTTACAAAATCTTCTTGCATAATTATATATTGTCACCTCTTATGTGAATTTCACTAACAATTGTCATGCTAAAATTGTTTATTGACTACAGTGAGTTGTTGATATAATAAACTCAGGCTACTTGTTAATATCATCCCTTGCTGTTTCCATAGTTCTTTTTCTATTTTATAAAATATGTCAGTCAGTCTCTACTATGGATATTTCCCTTAATTATCAGAGAATGACTAGACGACAGCTTGGATGAATATTAATGCTTTTATTCATCAACAACTCCCTGTTTTTCACTTGTAAAGCATCTTTGAATCATTCCACACTCCATCTTCCAGTTGTAAATATAGAAAGGGACTACTAGATGTGAGATATCATTATCTACCCAACCTACGCTTTTTAGAATTTTTTATGGTATTCTGATATATCATATTTGGCTTGGGATGTTCCCGATATCCTGAACCATTCATTTGAATGTACATGTCGATCAATCCCTATGTATTTTAGGGAATACCTGTTCTGCATTCACACATCCTCCTAAGCAGGTATCCAGAATCCGTACCTCCTTCTTCCCCCTGCTATAACCAATTTGGAAGCGCCCGATTAAACTGAATCACGTGATCTAATTATGCGCAATGACTTATACCAGGTCGTTCAATAAGTTCACGGAAAAATGCTCTAATTTCAAAGATTCTTGATATTTTCCCATACAATTTTCACACAATGTTTAAAAAATACTTTCTGATTGATTCTTAAAATCTCAGCATCTCTAATTAGATTGGTCAAAAATAAGGGTTACTATGGTAACTTGACTTTTGAGTAGGCGGGGCACGTTTTACGTCACACAATTTACCATTACAGAAATCTATCAATATGTGCAAAGGAAGGATCCTTATTTTTTATTTGTTCTTATTCAAATTACAAATTTTTGAGGGAAAATTGATGTTCATTGTTTCCACGAACATTTCTGAAATTGTGTTAGTTAATGCTGTACAAGTGGACCAGAAAATCAACAAAGTAATGGTATGGTAAGTTGATTAAAACTTCCATTCAGCCGAATTCTAAATTTTTCCATCAGAATAATGCAGCCGATCACACTGCTAATATTGTGCAGGAAACCATCACAAATAACTGGCAAAATACATAAGTTACATACTCTCCAGATGAGACAACTTTGATTTTTCTGTTTTCACTAGGATGAAGGATCAGCTAAGAGGTTGACTTTATGAAACAATGAAGCTACTTTCGACTGCAGTCCAGATTGCCCTTCAAACAAGTTTTCGAGATGACTTCAGAGCATTGTCTCGTCAATGGCTTGAATGGAACCTACTGTGCATTAAACATGCGGGAAAATATTTCTAAAACCTAATGGGACAATAGTTGTTACTATTATTACATTAAGTAATATCAGGTACAAGTAGAAAGCGGAGAAGAAATTCATGTGATATACTCATAAATTGCCTACTATTCTGTTGTTTTTCTAATGAATAATGTGACGTAAAAAGTGCCCCGCCTACCCAAAAGTAAAGTTACCATAGTAACCCTTATTTTTGACCAATCAAATAAGAGATGCTGATATTTTCAGAATTAATCAGAAAGTATTTTTTATACATTGTGTGAAAATTTCATGAGAAAATATCAAAAATCCTTGAAATGAGAGCGTTTTTCCGTGAACTTATTGAACGACCTGGTACATGATTTCTGTCGCAGTGTTGCGACAGCCAATCAGATTGCGAGTTCTTAATCGTGGAAATGCTAACTGCTTATCGCAGGGGGTAAAAAGAAAGAATATATTCGGGATTTTGAAGCCCTGTGATCGGAGGATGGCGTTCACAAGTTTTCACTTTCCTTAGATATACCATAATCTAGATCCATAATCTAATGGTCCACCTCTAACACACAAGTGAAGGTCAAGATGCAAGACAAAGCTTGTCAAATTGATGTCAACCAAGCAAGAGATGTGATAATTATTGAATCAATTTCCAAACACAAGCTAAAGACATCATCAACAACTTCTTGTTATCTTCCCAAAATTATGTGCTAATCATTTTTAGAAAAAGGGAGAAACTTGTACATGGTCTACAACTTGCATTTGAAAGATGTCATCAAATGGTTTCAGAATTTAATATTCAGATCACTTCATTCAAATTAATATCATAATCGAATTATGAGTTTAGTACACTTTAATGTTAATTTATATTTATATTACAGGATGGATCAAAACGGGCACTTCATTTTTATGCCTGCTCTTTTATTTGTAAAAATTCACCTTAATATGGTTTTCTGATTAGACAGGCTTTACTGTAGTTTAATTTTTTTCCACAAATGTTGATGGTCAAACAGATGGATGGACCAACCAATAAAGGAACAGATGACTGGATGATCCAATAGAATCACTGAGCAAACCAAAAATGCAATAATTCTTTTTAATAAAAGAATTATTATTTAAAGCATTATTATAAGTAGACAAGGCAATAATGCCCGGGTCATATTTGCTCTGATTCATTGGACTTAGTATTTTGTTCAAAACTGAATGCAATTTTGAACAAAATACTCAATCGGCCGGGCACTGGCTGATGAATCGGGGCAAATGTGACTCATGCATAATCTCAAATAATTGTGTAAAGTGTTTTTTTTAGCTCCAAAAGAACCCTGGAGAATAGCTTATTAATCTCATTAAGTAAATTACAAAATAGTAATTAAATGGGATACTACTCATCATATATGAATCATAAGCTTAATACCACACCAGAAATACATAATTTTAGAAATCAGCCTTGTTTTATTCAATGACCATGATTTTATAATAAACACAGCTTCAATACAATTGGACATCAATGTAGCAAGAGATAAAATGAAGAGACCTACATATATTGATCCATCCTGTATGATTATTTAGTGTTTATATTATTACATTGATATATTGGCACACAGTTGTCATATTTATCTCAGTCTATAGCATATACTGGTATACATTCTCACAAACATTTTAAGATAAAATGCATAAATTACAAGAATTTTACTTGCAACCCTTATGTCTAATTTCAATTCCTTTCTCAAATATTCCTGACAACATGTAGATTAAGATACATGGAGGTTCTATAAGCCCCATTTTTAATAAATCATGTCAGTAACCTTTCATACTTTACACTTAATGCATCTTTTCCTTAGGCTAATGTTTATGATTTGGCATTGGCACAGTGTAAGAATATATCACTATGGGCTGAGGTAAATCATTGCACAGCAATTCATTGTCTCTCACAATAAAATCACACACCCTCTTGCCACTTACCTTTGACTGTTCTGCAAATCCAGTCATTATGACCATGATGTGGTCTGCAATGTGAGTTGATGCCTCTAGAGGGATAGGTTGACATACAATATTCCCTGTGGCCTGTGTCACTGCTGTGTGGATGAGGGACCCAAGTAACAGCCAGGAAAGTAACCGTATATGACCCACACAGTCTATAAACTCCTTAGGCCTGTAACAATATATCTACCATGATTGGGAGAATTCTCTTGGAGTGTTTCAGATGTTATGATTATACATAAGGTACAAGTAAGCAATGCTAGTATCTTTGATTCTCTCATTCAACATTTAAGGATTAAGAGAAATATAGTTTCTGTATGATTTCATTTTGAAATTGTGCTTATTATGGAGAGACTACTAAATCACCATGGGCTTTCAAGAGAAATCAGTAATCATTTTATTCCACTTCAGATTTATGCTAAAATAATTCATATCATATGGCCCTTTTCCATATCAGGGGCCCCTTACCCTTGCTGCATGGCAGATGGTGGATGATAGAGCCATGGGAGGTATCTGTTGATCGCCCTATTATCTCTGCCATTACATTTAGTGAATTCAAGCGCAATAAACTGCGCCACCCCTGACTTCAGTTGACTTCCCAGTGTGTCCTCATTTAAGCTTTGAGACCCATTCTTCATGTTAACCTAGAAAAAACAAGTAAATGTCAAGTAAGGCTCAATCTACATGTAATCCTTGAAAAAACAGGTAAATGTCAAGTAAGGCTCAATCTACATGTTAACCTAGAAAAAACAAGTAAATGTCAAGTAAGGCTCAATCTACATGTAATCCTTGAAAAAACAGGTAAATGTCAAGCAAGGCTCAATCTACATGTTAACCTAGAAAACACAAGTAAATGTCATGTAAGGCTCAATCTACATGTTAACCTAGAAAACATAAGTAAATGTCAAGTAAGGCTCAATCTACATGTTAACCTCGAAAAAACAGGTAAATGTCAAGTAAGGCTCAATCTACATGTTAACTTAGAAAACACAAGTAAATGTCAATTGAGGCTCTCACTGATCCAACAAGGTATTAACATGGAAAATGTCACATCCTGCCATTTGTTACAAACACTGAACACTGAATACCAACTGCTGAACACCATTCAAAAAATGTGTTGGTGACATAACTAGGCTTTGCAATAACAAGTTAGAACAACTCTCATGATACTGTATCAAATCTATGATTTAGGTGATTCTGTTTCTTTCAAGTGAGTCTATTGCCTATGGTCACATACCTTAACTTTGGGGACAGTATGCAGATCAGCTATGAAGTCCACACACTCAGTCAGGTGAAGTTTCATACATTCACTGGCATTGGTGCTGAGTAGCAGTTGGGACTGTGGGTTAAAGACGGTCAGACTTTCCTCTAAGATGTTATTAGGACTGATTGTCCCTCCAGCATCAACACACACAAACTACAACAGAATGGGATAACATGTTCGTCTTTTCTACTTAAAGGATGTGCATTTATCAAATAAAAGATTCATTACTTTGAGATTAAGATTGAAATACAAATGTAATAATTTGAAAACAAACAGAAAAGATCTCAGGGGAAGGTGGAGAATGCCCTTTATAACTTCTTAATTCGCGCTTCTTTTAACATTTCCTTTACTTCAAATATTTGTAGGAATTTGTATGTCTTCAATATTTCTAAAGGTAATGAGAGAGTAGACAAAATGAGGATTTATATCAAACTTTTTTTAAAGTCCTAGTGGGTAGTAATGGCTGTAACATTTGCTGACATTGAGCAGGCAATGAATGTTACCTGTACTAGCATCAGTAGGTTCTCATCTGGTAGACTGGACTTGAACTTGAGAGCCTGGACGAGTTCAAACACAATACTCCTAGATAAATACAGCTTGTCTCTCTCCTACAGAATAAATGATGATTAACATGATAAATGATTAACAATCAATCTGAATCAATCAAAACTCTTTTAAGCAGTGAATTTTAAGCAATGCTTTGATTCTCAGGATGACACACAATGTGGATGTTACAGCAAAATGTTTTAAATGTTAAAGATTGAGTTTAACTATGCCATTATGACAATCATTCAGAAATATATGAAGAGCAGTCAAAACTCCAATAAACTAATAATAAAAAAATGTATCAGAGACTTACATGCTTGTACGCCCGATTTTTTGATTTATTTATTTCAAATTGTATATATCATGTGAATTATAATTTTGTTTAAAGAAGTCATATGTTGTTTTGTTGCACACAAACAGTCTTGCATATGAGCAGATTAAAGAGCAATGTTCATTTTGAAAAAGGAGAAACATCTCGTATATTTTAAAATAGCTTTACCTTTGTGAAGGCTCTACTGCAGAGGGAACAGATGTCCATCAGTTCCTGCATCTTGAATGTGCAGTTTTGAATAGTGAAACTTAACAGTTTAGAAAATGGCTCCAATATACCCTGCAATAGAGAAGACTAATAGAATGAAACAGATACATTTAACACCATGACTATCTTGATTATCTCACTTTAAGTTTTATCCTTCAAATTTAAACTGAATATTTGGCATGTATGGGGTCGTAGATTCAGGTTTCGAAATATGATTATATCTCTAGCACAATTCAATGATATCTGAATGTACCAAAGAAAGGGGTAATGCAGAGTTCAACCTCTCCAAGACATCTACAATGTGTTCCATGATACCTGAATGTTGCAAAGAAAGGGGTAATGCAGAGTTCAACCCCTCCAAGACATCTACAATGTGTTCCATGATACATGAATGTAGCAAAGAAAGGGGTAATGCAGAGTTCAACCCCTCCAAGACATCTACAATGTGTTCCATGATACATGAATGTAGCAAAGAAAGGGGCAATGCAGAGTTCAACCCCTCCAAGACATCTACAATGTGTTCCATGATACATGAATGTAGCAAAGAAAGGGGCAATGCAGAGTTCAACCCCTCCAAGACATCTACAATGTGTTCCATGATACATGAATGTAGCAAAGAAAGGAGTAATGCATAGTTCAACCCCTCCAAGACATCTACAATGTGTTCCATGATACATGAATGTAGCAAAGAAAGGGGCAATGCAGAGTTCAACCCCTCCAAGACATCTACAATGTGCTTTTAAGTGCAAATGTGACCTTCAATAGGGATATAACTACATTGATATATGCAGTAAATATGAATGTCTTTTTTGCAAGTAAAATATAATTAAAACAAAATGAAAAAAAATATCTTTGTTTTCTAAGCGAAAAAAACTAACTACACAAAAAATGTTCCTACACCATACTGACAGGATGTTATTATCATGAGTCGAGACAACATCCTCAATTCTATTTTTTCCTAAATAGTGGAAATGACGTATTTGGATTTTATGCCGAAGAAAAATACAAACAGAAGTATTATGATAAACGAGAAGGACAATGGGGATTGTATATTATACAAATAGTGACTGTCATTGAGGGCAATAGTGCAAATTATTTCCCCGAGGGAATATCCTCTAAAATGTACCATTCCTGATTATTTTTCTTCTAAAATGTACCAAACTTTTACTGAGCATAGAAAGTTTTTCCTAAGAAATTTCTGAGAATCGCACTTGACAAATTCAATCGCGTTTAACACGCGAAATAGATTATCATAACACTTGAAATTACACAGATGTATTGAACTTATGGAACTTTATCCACGTTGCTTATATTGTATCGTTCACACACGTCTGTCATGGTAAACGGAGTTGATTTGTGTTTGTGGTCATCCTCCATTTTTCTGTTTTTCGTCTGTGCAGTGATGTTTACTCTCAAAATTGGACGTTTCCATGTTTTATTCCTCTCAGGCAACATAAATAGCATTTTCCAGTGATTTGTCCCAGGCTGTGGCAACTGGTTTAACCAATTCATCACCATTTTTGGATAAAAACTGAACTTTGACCAAAAAAAGGTACTTTATCCATGTTTTTTTCCTCTCAGATTGGCCAGTTTCCATGGGTTATGCCCAAAGCCAAAATTGGCTGTGCCCAACATACATGTTCCTAACCAAATTATTTAGAGTGAACCTCCTGAGATTTTTTCATCGAAAATCTTGGGAGCTTGCTTGGGAGGATTTCGAAACATGTTTAAGTACCCACTCAAATCAAATCCACAGAATTCTTCGCCATCTATTGACAGTCCTCAGGCAATTCGTAAATTGCCCATACATCACATCATATAGGATTGCCAACCCACAATGCTTTGGCTCCCTCTGAGGTACAGGCACAATATTATATACACATACATCGATCTCTGCCTCTACCTATTTGAGCAATGCACTATACATGTACATGAACTAATATAATATATATCCAGGCATATTATCAAGTAGTGCAGCAGTAATTTAATAAACTCCAAAATTCTGAGATTAACACCATACACATACATGACTGCATCCTAAAAAAACCTACAGCTAGAGCACTGTACTGAATCAAATACAAAATAATATACATTGTGCAATCTTGTCACATTTCATGTCTAACGTTTTATGTAGCACTACAAAGCACATAAACACCCAGCTAAAAGAAAACTAGCATTATTGTAAATCTTTATATTTTTTCGACAAATTTTCTATCAATCAATTTTAATATTCAAACAAAATCTCAGTCAGAAGTTATTTTTATGTATACGTTAATAACTAAGACTGAACTTGGTTTTGTAATTTTGATAAGACCAGTTTTCTCATAGCACAGCTGAATATGGGATTCTCAACATAAGCAATCAGCCATACATCCTGCGTTCAACCCTACACATACATGTATACAGTAGGTATACACAATCAAGGCATGTCTGTCATACGTTCAAGGGTCACCTTTAACTTCAACAAGGTAATCTGATATGCAACCCAAGAAAACATGGCCAAATAGAAAAGCCACTTCCAAGTTTCTCATTTTCAACATTTCAAGATAGAACTCATTTTCTGAGTGATTTTATATTTTGAATCAAATCCCCAAATTAATGAAAATTCCTGTAAAGTAAAAAGTCATTTGAATTTTCAAAGGCACCAATCTGAAATATTACATTTTCAATCTACTCTTTTAAATGAATCTGACTATAATAATAAAGAAAAACTTAGGAGATACCTAAAAAGTTTTACAGTAAAACCATTATTTTTCACAAGATTCATTAAAAATATTTCCACATGAAGGTCCCCAAGGATAAACCCCATATCTAGAACCTCCCATAATGATGCTGCTAAACCCTCTACAGTCGACATACAGAAGGTAGGGAATGTATGACAAACATGTTAATTGTAATAATGTCATTTTGTTAGTTTAACTCACCTCAAACACCCTCAAGCCCTGCAGAAACACCAAGCAATAACCAGGTATCATAACATAAATAGTCTTGCACAAATCCTCTGCCCTCCCTCATTCCAATTAATCACTTGTATTTAAAGTGAAGTGAAAGGGGAGGGCATGAGAAGTCTTGCATAAATCCTCTGCCCTCCCTCATTCCAATTAATCACTTGTATTTAAAGTAAAGTGAAAGGGGAGGACATAAGTAGTCTTGCACAAATCCTCTGCCCTCCCTCATTCCAATTAATCACTTGTATTTAAAGTGAAGTGAAAGGGGAGGGCATGAGAAGTCTTGCATAAATCCTCTGCCCTCCCTCATTCCAATTAATCACTTGTATTTAAAGTAAAGTGAAAGGGGAGGGCATGAGTAGTCTTGCACAAATCCTCTGCACTCCCTCATTCCAATTAATCACTTGTATTTAAAGTGAAGTGAAAGGGGAGGGCATGAGTTGTCTTGCATAAATCCTCTGCCCTCCCTCATTCTAATGAGTCACTTGTATTTAAAGTGAAGTGAAAGGGGAGGGCATGAGTAGTCTTGCACAAATCCTCTGCCCTCCCTCATTCCAATTAATCACTTGAATTTAAAGTGAAGTGAAAGGGGAGGGCATGAGTAGTCTTGCACAAATCCTCTGCCCTCCCTCATTCCAATTAATCACTTGAATTTAAAGTGAAGTGAAAGGGGAGGGCATGAGTAGTCTTGCACAAATCCTCTGCCCTCCCACATTCCAATGAGTCACTTGTATTTAAGTGAAGAGGGAAGGCATGAGTTCTTAATGCAAATTATTAATTAACTTAAGACCTCATGAAGGTGTTACCGCCCATGTGAAGACAATGTTTTTAAAGCATGGTGAACTGGAGCCACCAGGTCTTATTTTTGATTGGTCGTCTGCTTCAATAATTGAGTTATTAAACAAACTTCAAATTGCTTTTCAATAAAACTGACCAAATACAAGAGATAACAATGGAAAGTTCCTGATCTGTTGGTCAGTTGAAGTGAAATCAAGTTCCCAAAAATACCACAAACACAATCAGGAATAACCAATAGGATTTTAGTTTTTGTTCTAACAAGGTTTCAAATAACATGCTCCAGTGGTTATACATTAATTGTGAAAAGGTTGAGAACTGAAAACTCTGTACTTAACAAATTTAGTAGTGTACCAAACTAAACCAAATAAACACAACAAAACAGCTTCAAAGTGGTTGAAAATCAAGCAAACAATATATATGTAATCAATGAGAGTACCTTAACTGATGTTATCCCAGGTATTTTCAATACGGCTGTGATGATTCGCAACACAGGTGTCATGTCACATGGACAGGGAAGAGTCCCAGGGAGTCTCCGAAAGAATGAATCAAAATGAGCCAGGATGTTAGCCCATATGGGTGTGGATGACTCCAAGGTTATGCAGTCCATATACTCAGCAAGATTAGTCAGTAGCAACATAATGCTCTCACTCGGCAATGTCTTCTTGGCATTCAGACCCTACAACATAGTTTTAATTGAACTTTGAATTTAAACTTCAATTCACTTATACTTATAACGAATATATAGATATACACATAAACATAAGTTATGCTTTCACATATGAGCGAAATCTCTCTAATGTAAACAATGATCCACCTACCTCTAGAAGAAGCTGAAGAGGTGCATAGCAGTTCAGTTCATTAAAGTCCATCAGAGCATTGGCGATTGTTTTCATTAGCATTCCTTCTGTAAACAGGAAGAATCGTCATCCTTCAATAACCATGACGTGTTTACTTGTGTACAATTAAGAGATCTTAGCACCATTTGTAAATAAAATAAGCGACGTCAAGAAACACCTCTGCAATGTTTTTTTCATAACTGTTTTTCTTTTCTTTAAGGGCCTTTTCAATTATGGGCTAGTTTTTTTCATTATAGGCTTGTAACAAACAATCCGACCATATCCATTATTTCATCACTGGAGAAATAATTTAGTTAAACATTATGAAACAATTTGATGCATAAAAATACTTGAATAAAAAAATAATTGATATATCTCATATTTTACTATATTCTATGTCTGGAGTCATATATGGTACCTAATGTTAGCCAATATCCCAGATACCAGTTGGTAGTTACCAGTTTTACCACCAGGTTGCTTACTCGGTTAAGATAACATGGCAGGTATTAGAAGGTACTCTTAAACCTCAACATTCATCAGTTTATTAAGTGGATCAGTTCTCATGTCACACTTCTATGTCTGATAAATATATAAATGAAAATATGTCCAGTGAAAGAATATGTTATTTGTCCAACACAAGAAAAGATATTTCACTTTTTGTGATCTTATAACTATCTCTTTGGCTAAAGGAGTGGTATAGATATGGTGAACTTTTTGAACACGCGCTTCTCTTAAACCAGTCATCAAAACATTCTGAAAATTTTATACATCTTCAATTCAATGAAACCAAAATTTCCTTTGTATAACTGAAATATTGAAAGGTCTACAAAATGTTGTATATGCTATTTTGTTCCAACAAGGTTCGGAAAGACATTTTATTTCATTCTCAAGAATTGGTAGAAAGGAACAAAAAACAATTGCACTAAAAACAAAAAATGTTAACAAAAACAATTTTAAAAAATATATATAAATAATTTTTTCATTGTTGACAATCAGTCAACATGACATTAAGGATCGTGTTTTTTAAAGAATGATTTCAATAATTGGTTTAAGAAAAAAACATTGTTGAATTCAGTTCACTATAAACCTTTTGACTTTAATCAAGATTATTTCTATTTGCATCTAGTCTATTAAGGAGGCAGTATGTATCTTTGAGAAGTAAAAAGAAACATTTTGCTTGAAATATTTTACTCAGACAATCAATTAAATACAAAACAAGGTTTCATTTCAAGTTACAAGGGTTCCTTTACAAGAATATTATTATAACTTTTATTGACATATAGTATCATAACATGATTACATTAGTCAGATGATGAAGCGTTTAGCTCTACCATGGTTGTGACAAACTAATACATTTCAAACCACAATAGAGCCATACTTGTGAATGTTTTAATATTAATTCAAGTGATGTAGCTGATGTTATCCAACATTAACAAGGATTTACCTAACATTTCAAAAGGATAAATCCCTATAGGAACAAATGAAAATGAACCATGCCAGGCCCATAGACAGGGGGGGCAAAAATTCTTTCACAATCATGCAGTTTTTCACCATTCTGAGCACTTTAAAGTGATTTTGGCCGCTTTTGAGCCAATGAACCCCCCCTGAAATTTTTCAAAAAATGAAGTGCCACAGGTATTCAACAAAACAGAATTCAATATTTGTTTTATCATATTACTCCTAATGAAGCTAACTTTCCTCAATATTATCAATTTATATTTTTATTATGTTTAAACATTGATGAATATATTTATTCTAACCCAAGTGATTTTATTTAGAAAATTCTGATATTCTTATCTGTTTAGTTGATCAGAAAACCTTTCAAGCTATTTGTGCCAGTTTTGACCAATTTGGTTGACTGAAAACAATATATATCCACTGGAAACCTTGATCTTGACAACAAAAAAGTTTCAGTTAATAGGAAAATAATATGAACAGTCGCCCTCAAAGTTATTTAGACTAACTTTTAATCAAATCTATTGAAACAATATTTAATACTGAAACTGCATGGTATTGTCATAAAAACTGAGTAAATCCAAATGAGAAACAAAGCATTAACATGCAAAATGTCACCACCTGCTATTTGTTACAGACACTGAATGCCAACTGTCAGATGCCATCACAAAAAATTGGCGACCATAACAATATGTCACCACTTGTGGTGGTGACATAAAAAAGTTGAAAATTCTGAGATATTGTCCTCATTAATCAGATGCATGACTGCTTAGCATCTTCCTCCCAAGGCTGGTACTGCATTAGCTCTGATGTACTTATGGGACTTTGCATCCATTGTAACATTTGGTGGATAGACACACACCATACATTATTAAGTTTCTCTAGAGTTGTCAAGAATAGAGCCAGGACTAAGCTAAGTTCATCACTATCATTCAACCATTGTGAATCTATGGACATCACAAATGGAGCCCTGTTATGTTTATAATGCTGCAGAAAGCCTGTAGTGAGGGTGTGATAAATCTGTACTGGTGTCATACTCTCTCTGCTGTTATTCAATAGTAAGGTTGCTATGGGGACCTGCCAGAGCCCTGGATGTGACCCAGTGGCTCCCCCTGGGGTGTAATCCATAGTAAATGGCCACAGAGGTTTACTAGCATTAAGCCTGTCATACCATGTTGATAAATACGATGAATCATATTCAAACAGATCATGAGCCATGTCGTATATGGTCCTTCTGTCCACATGTGCATCAGAAATTCTTATACCAGCAATAGATTCATGAAGTATACCACTATGGTATTCAAATAAATTTTGCTGTTGTTGAAATTCAGATCTAAATGTCATATTATCCCCTTTTCTATTCACTGTCTTAGTGTTTACCTGTGCATCTAAATAAACAGCTATTTCATGACCATGTTTATAAATATCACACACCATGTCATTTTCAGTCTCTGGTGTATCAAGTGGTACAAAAAATGTCCCGTGTATTGGTGCCCCATTAGGATTTGTAAAATTCTGAACAAACAACTGTTGATATCTCCGAGTGTTTAACACTGGACCATTGACTGTGAGAAGCACAAACTGCGGAGTAGATTCAACAGGGAGTTCACCAGGTGGTTGAAAACTTGGACAGCGACAGAAAGGAGCACAACAGTCATCCTCTGGGCAAAAATGAAGCCGATCAAGATCCTCCCCCTCGAGAGCTTCAACTGAACATAATACGACTATCCACATTATGTAACAGCTATAGGCACTAGCTGACATTGTTTTGAGTTGATTGTGTATATGTTTGCATGTGTTAGATGGAGTATCTCACATATGTATGCTTCATTCTGGTATTCTGATCTGTTAAGTATTTTCAAATGCATTTGTCATATAGCACATTCATACTGGTGTATCATCATCATATCATAACTGTTAAGGTCATCGTCATATTGCCACTCTTTGTCATCACTGTTTGTTCCTTTACTTTAGGTCATTATTGTGCCAATATCATCTCTCACACCAATACAACATTGTTTTTTCATTATGTATCACTATTGTATCCTCATTCTATATCATCATTGTATTATCACTATAGCAAATGGTTGATGTATCACTTTTATGATTCTATTGTATGCACTTGCAGAATTCAATTAATGTCTACTAAAACCACTTTTTGTTTTTGAATCCTTTAAAGTAATGAAATGCTGTTTTTTCTCTCTACTTAATAACGTTTTCAATTATATCATTCTCTCTATTTTGAATTCCCTGGCTACTGCATGCCCTTCAAATTTCACATACTTTGTTTAAACTTAACATATTCTCAGTGCATTGTACAACACAACAATGCAAATTTTGTTATTGCATGGGATAAACATTTGAATAACTTGTATTGTAATACTATGAAATAGGTTAACCTTTCTCAGTAGTATTTTCATATCATTAATCCTACTAAGGTCAGCTTTATTCAAAATGCTTCACAAATCCACTAATGACAAAGCTTTATACATTCAATCAACCTCTAGTATATATGCAAAAACCTTTCTTCAACATTATTTGATTTATATTTATATTCCCCACATAATAGGCTTTCGAGAACTCAGACTCATTATTTTGTCTTCCATGAAATGTATACCATTCCAATTCCATATTGTGCTCGTATTAAAAATTGTATAACGAACATAATGAATGTTTAATGTCACATGCTAAATCCTATAGATATTTTGAATATTTTACTCTTTGGCCATGAACAGAGTGTATGTTTAGTGCTATAATTAAGATATGAAATAATACTTATTTTAAAAAATTTATCACAATTTGTAAGGACATGTTACCTATTTGCAAGGGCACCTAACAAGAGCTATTATTAAAATGATATACGTATATCGCCTTATGCCATGCATTAATAAGCTCATCAACACTCTATTTATCAATTGTTAGCCAGTTAGCCTGAGGATATCGAAAATGAAGTGATATGATGAGCAAGCAATAATAACCCAAGTACCATTTCTATGCATTTCTATCTATTTCTATGTAGACACATTAAACACTGTTTATTAAGTGAAACTTCCTAACTTGAACAATTAATAAAGGACACATGGCCCCTGAGTTTACACTGTAAAATGTTACCAAAATGTGACTTTTTGATGGCAAAATTGAAAATTTCTTGAAAATAAAGACAGAGAACTTGAAAAATGGAGATGAGAGGCCAAAATGAGACAAAATCCTTTTTGTCCAATTTTTTGAGCAAATGTTAAAAGCTGTTATTCACAAGGCTCTAGGGATTTTCTGAATTCATTCTTTCAGCCTATAGCAACTTAAAAGCATCAAGTTGTATAGTAATACATAGTAATGAAATCAAGTTTACATGTTATTATGATGTCAATCTTAATAAAAATGTCATAAGTTAATTCAATTTTTATATTAGTTTAATTTGTACTTGGATGCTCTTTAAAATCTCACTTGGTGTCATGTACATGTACAGCAGATTTGTCTCATATTGGGTAGAGCCTTAAATCTGCACACCCCCCTTTGAAATGCTTACAATTTTGATGCCCATAAAAATCATGTTAAAGCTCACCTTCAACGTTACTTTGGAAGATCTGAACAAAGATGCCATTGGGGGCAAGCTGGTGTAGGACGCAACGCAAGAACTGCCTCGCCACACTCACACAGTTACCCGGCACCACTAAGCTACTGAAATAGAAATAGATCTGGTCAAGCATTGTGCTATAATTGCATTTTTTATTATATCTTTTATCAGGCCCGTAGCCAGGATTTGCCAAGGGGGGTTCAGTTTTTAAAATTTTTCAAAATGGTGAAAAACTGCATGATTTTGAAAGAATTTTTGGCCAGGGGGGGGGGGGTCGCAGGAACCCTGCGAACCCCTCCTGGCTACGGGCCTGTTTATTGTCATATTATATCAGTTACATTAGTCACTAAAACACTACAAAGTACAACTACAACTACTCTAACTGTAAAAATACAAATAATTTTATTGTATACCTAGTATCACAAAATGCACAATTATTATTGCAGTATTATTTCCGAAGTTTTTAACAATTTATATAGGGCTAAGGGGTGTAACGTGACACCATTTGGGGTAACTTTGACACATGGGGTAAATTTGACACCTTGTTTATTGTTGTTTATTTGCTCTAATTTCCAATCTAGGGGGAAGCTATGTTTTCTTGCATGGATCAAGATCTTGCAAGATTTTAATTTTTCCAGAAATCAAACATGGCAGAAAATGGGAATTCTATTTCTTATAAATAAATGTCGAAGTTACCCCATCTCTCATGTCGACATTACAACATTACGCCACACGTCGACATTACACCCCTTTGCCCTAATTAAAATTAATCAAAATAAAGCACATTTTTTAAAATGAAAATGAAAGGTTTTCAATAAGACAACAGCAACGCCAAGGCGTAGCAAATACCATTGAACAGCCATGAATGCCATTTTTGGAAATGGTCAATTATTAGCCAAATTTATCATGTGTCAGTCTAATATCCGTATTCAAATATAAAATTTTGATAAAGACACTCCATTACTTTTTTAGATAAGACAAAAAACATAAAATAACACATATAAAAAAGGATATAAAAAAGATTGATCAAAACTTATGAAATGTATATAATGAAAATAATTGCATCATTTAAGTCAAACAATATAACTAAATACGTAAGAAAGTTACAATCTAAATAAACAAAGGAAATGATTTTGAATGATTGAATACCAAATTATTTCTAAATACGTATGTCCAACCTCTCAAATCTATTACGTGCCTTATTACATCCACTTGTTTTATCATGTTATGAATCATAGGAAGTGTTTATTAAATATAGCAAAAATTATCAACAGCCTACTCTTATTAGTACAATTAATACCTATATCTCTGTAAAGTATGTGTCTCTGTTTTACAAAAATCAAACATGGCAGAAAATGGGAATTCTATTTCTTATAAATAAATGTCGAAGTTACCCCATCTCTCATGTCGACATTACGACATTACGCCACACGTCGACATTACACCCCTTTGCCCTAATTAAAATTAATCAAAATAAAGCACATTTTTTAAAATGAAAATGAAAGGTTTTCAATAAGACAACAGCAACGCCAAGGCGTAGCAAATACCATTGAACAGCCATGAATGCCATTTTTGGAAATGGTCAATTATTAGCCAAATTTATCATGTGTCAGTCTAATATCCGTATTCAAATATAAAATTTTGATAAAGACACTCCATTACTTTTTTAGATAAGACAAAAAACATAAAATAACACATATAAAAAAGGATATAAAAAAGATTGATCAAAACTTATGAAATGTATATAATGAAAATAATTGCATCATTTAAGTCAAACAATATAACTAAATACGTAAGAAAGTTACAATCTAAATAAACAAAGGAAATGATTTTGAATGATTGAATACCAAATTATTTCTAAATACGTATGTCCAACCTCTCAAATCTATTACGTGCCTTATTACATCCACTTGTTTTATCATGTTATGAATCATAGGAAGTGTTTATTAAATATAGCAAAAATTATCAACAGCCTACTCTTATTAGTACAATTAATACCTATATCTCTGTAAAGTATGTGTCTCTGTTTTACAAAAAGAGACCTATACATGTAGGATATGGCAAAGAATTTCAGACAGTTGTATCTTGGATGCTGAATTATCGTATGACCATGGAGAAAGGTATATTTCTTAAAACCACTCATTATCTCCAAGAAAAGTATTTACAATGATAACTACAATGTATTTTAATTAAATCAGACTCTTTGATAGTGATAACAATACAATAAAAGGTTGTCCTTTTAGTGAAAATTAAGTCAACATTGAAATGAAAGACCCACTAGTCTACATGGCCCTGTGCTCACACAGTGAATTGTAACCATATTATGTTTGGAAAGGATTACATTGTACAGAAAAAAAAACAAACTTTTGTCTTTTACATGAGTTAGTTATAAAGTCATTCAGTTACTCAGACTTAGACTTAGGTACATGTAGGCACAAAGTTATTGAGTTAATTACTCAGTTGGTTACTTTGAAAAAAATTTAATCACAAAACCTGCTATTAACTTTATACATTAGAAAGTTCCCCGAAAATGACAAAGTCCTACTTTTTGTCAAATATTATAGAGTAAACCCCGAAAACTGTAATTTGAAGAGATTTGAAATCTTCAGAGGACATATGTTGCACATACAGCAACTGCTAGCATTTATTTGAAAGTTCTACTTTAACAAAGAGATAATTAAACAAAATTTGATTTTTTTTTTACATCAAAATCAACAATTTCTCGGAAAAAGGATCTTCGGAAATGGCGATGACACGTCAAATAGATACTATGGATATACATAAAATAAATGTGGCTATGTCTTAATATGAATAGCAATTTTAATTTGTGCAGCAAATCTGTTGATGGATGGGTGGACCAACAGATGGACGGACAGACCAACAGATAGATGGACAAATGTTTATTGGAACGATAGCCTCTCTTTTATCAAAGAATCCGATTGGAACCAAAAAAATATTTTCATAAAACAGGTTGAATGATACCCTAAGGAAAATAAATATGAGAATCAAAATGATCAGTTTTTTTTAAACTTACCAGTCCGTTTGCCAGGGGTAGAGGTGTTGAGATGCCACGCGACCAATACTCTGTAACATATCCAGTAACATAGGTACAGCCAGGGAAGGTTCCCTGTGTACAAAGGTAGCACATACTGTAATTGCAAGGCTTATTGTGTCTTCATCATACTGTTCCAACACTGCCATACACTCGGGACATCTGAAAATATCAATGGTTCATTACAACGACAATGGAGAAGATACATCTGTATATAGCAGGTCATTATTTCAAAAATGCTTTAACAATTTGCTGTGTAGTATGGTAAAAGAGTTTTCAACTTTAAAGCATTTAAGCATAGGAAAGGCTGATGTTGTATATACCTATCTACTATTGTCTGGTCACTGTATCTCGCCTGCATTGCTTTCTTCTGTTGGTTGTTGCTTTGTTGGCTTTTCTTCAAGAGGTCTGCCTTCCTAGTACGTCTCCTACAATGAAACACATGCAGGATAACACATTAGGGATAATTTAATATTCTGTTTTTTTACTTTATTCCTTTCCCAATATTCTTGAAAAATCCTAGAATCTTTGTATTGTACCCTCCCCACATTACGAAAACAGCTAATATGAAATGGATATACTGCAATTGGGTAAGACTATATTGTAAATTGATACTTCATTACAATCTTTGCTATCAATCTTTCATTTCTGTAGATGCAAAATATGAAGAAAGAAAGATGGCGTTGGATCTAATTCATGATGCAGCGAAATGAAAAGCTTCACAGTTTATAAACTTGTATGCTCCCTTAGTATAAATCTAATAGACAGGTTCCAATTTCAGAATATCTCAAGGGAAAGGGTTTTTGAGGCATTTTTTAGAAAAAGCAACAGACCTATTTTTTCTGGATCAGTTTTTCATGCTGATAAAGATATTAAAAGATGACAGCTCAACGGGGTGGTCACGACACTGAATTTTAGCGTTTTTACCCCCCTGTGAAATTATTTTAGGGGGTACTATAATATTAGTTCATAACTCAAAGGATATATAAACTATTGTTCTGAGTTCTACAGCATACATTGTTAGTACAGAGATGAATACTACCCTAAAGTTATAGGTTGATATCTTTGTTGGTTTCGGAAAAATACAATTAATTTGAAAAAAATATGCAATTTTTGTCATTTTTTTCTTGCTTATTTTATATTTGTAGCTCCAAGCAAAATATGATAACTTAAACAGCTCAAAGTAGTATTCTAACAACATTCCTAAGCTATGTGTGATATTGTAATACATCTATTATAGTGATGAAGTACTATTTTGTAATTTTAATATGACTTTATAGTGCCCTACCCCTGGTAAATAGAAGAAAGTTGGTGTGGTTTTCTTCTGATTTTAACATTTTATTGTCTTCTTAGTTGAAGATACAATCAATTCTGTCAGTTAACCATGAGTAGCTTTACAATGGTTAACTATTCCCATGAATAGAGGGTTGGGAAAATACCAGAACTGTTAAGTGGCATCCTTGGGCAACCCTCTTCAGAGCATTTTCCTTATATAATCCGATAAAATCTGCAGGGGACACTATAATAAACCTATATATCTAAGATACTAATGAAGATACTGAATTCAAATTTTCAGGATTTGGTCCTGGTATGATAAGTAATCTGTATGACAAAAATGACAAAAAGAAAAAACTCTGTTGCCATAGTAACAAGAATACGACACTATTTGTTTCCTAAGAAATGTGTTTTAAGGGGTTTTGTCATTCTCTTCATATTTTTAATTCTAAATATGTCTACAATGCGGGATGGTTAAAATTATGGTAAAGTAATCTTTTCTATTGTTCTATTGTTCTCTAAAACAGAAGTTGCTATGGCGACACATAGATCATAGAAAAAATCCTGGGATGATCGCCCTATTTGTCAGGAAATTAAAATGGAAACTGAAAAATGAGTTTCTTCCTACTGAATAGCAACTTGGTAGACCAAGGCTGACACGCACAGGCTCTGGGACTTATAACACCTAATGCCGAATCTTTTCCAACTGCAAAGGAAGGCAAGATTTTAATAATGAACATCCATATATCTCAACAAATATGGCATAAGATTTGGACAATGATGATGAAACTCTGAGGGAAAATTAGACGAAACATTAATGTGAGTGGTCCAAAAATAACACTTACATGTTTTGAAAAAGTTATGCTCTCGGGTGAATCAGTGCTCATTTAAGGATAGTCTGAATCGGGTGAATTTTTTAACCTAATTGTACCCCTCCCCCAAAACCCCCAAATTTTGACAATTGTCGAAAAGTGGCAAACAACAATTAAAAAACATCATTAAAGTTAAATATGGCTATTTCGCTTCTATGTCATAAAGATATGGTACGATCTCAGGTCAATCAATAAATTTCACAAGTGACACTCTATCTTATGAAGAAAATATTATCGTATTTGAAGACATGTCAAAAATTTGGAGGAAATAATTTTGTCACTCCTGATTTGACCTGGAAAGGTTCAGGTAAGCTATCACAAACAATTTCAGACAGTTATATCTTTGATTATGACTATTTTCTGACCATGAAGTCAGGGTATACAGGGATAATAAAGTCAATCGGACAATATAATTAAAGGTTGCATCTTTGGTGAAAATTAGGTCAACATTTTTAGTAAAAAGTATGTTGATTGGGCCATTCCCTTTAATATCACTTAGGTCTGATTAATCATTATATTTACTTTTCTTGAAGATAATGAATAGATCTAAAAGATATACCCATGTTCATGGTCAGAAAATATTCATAATTCAAGTTAGAATTGTCTGAAGTTGTTTGCGATAACCTAAATGCTCCTTTATAACATTATTATGTTAATACAGTAGAACCTGTGTAAGTGGAACACTCCATTCTGCCACAAAGCGTTCCACTTAGAAGGTGTTCCACTTACGGAGGTTTTGGGTTCGCAGGGAACATACAAGATCAAATATAGGATTTATATGTATCATTGGAAATATGATTCTCCCTTCATTACAGGGCAGGTATATACCATTAATAATCCATTTATTTTACTCAAAAAGGTATCTGACATTCTTAATCCTCCTCATTTTGCCAAAAAATGTTTTCTGACATTCTTAATCCTCCTAATTGTACCAGTCTCAGGTACAATGATTAGGCAATTAAGTTTTAAAGACTTGTTCCTACTGCTAATAATTCAATTGTTTTTAAATGACATTTTTAATCTTACTTATTAAGTTTGAAACAAACAGCAAGGGATATTAATTAGTGGTAGCATCACGTGTCCAGTTCTACAGGAGGTTAATCCAATTTTCTGAATGAAAATCTTATGAAATCCTAATTTGCTGATTATCAAATTAATTATTGGTTGCATCACATGTTGACCTCTACAGGAGGTTAATCCATTAAAATCCTAATTTGCCAATTATCACAGTATTACCTGTTTTCATACCCAGATATCATTGAAGGAGATTAATTCTGTTTACACATATCAATATTGAAATCTATGGAAATTGACTGTTCCACTTAGCAGGTTAATTTTTCAATATGGGGTGTTCACTGTTCAAGTTTGGAGGTGTTCCACTTACAGAGGTTCAATTAACATTAAGTCAATGGGTTTTTAAAACGGGACTTTGAAAAGGTGTTCCACTTGGGAGGTGTTCCACTTACGGAGGTGTTCCACTTAGCAGGTTCTACTGTACATTACTTGTGCATGATGACCACCATAGTCTAGTTGCTCAAATGAGATCAATTGATGATTATAATGTTTAGACTTTATGTCAATGTCCAGACTGTATGCCAACCTCTCTAGTATGTGATTACACTAGATTTCATTATGATACATGTACTTAATTGAAAACTTATAAAATATCTTAAGTCCTATATTCTAGTAATAAATGAATTAGAATGTCACCTAACATTTGATGATGGTATGAATTTATTGATTTGGTGTCTATCAATACATGTTTCTAACTTAATGCTGCAAAATGATAAAATACACCACATCCACTTTCTTCAATTTTCCAGGGGTAGGGCACTATAAAGTCATATTAAAATTACAAAATAGTACTTCATAACTAAAATAGATGTATTACAATACCACACATAGCTTGGAAATGTTTTTAAAATACTACTATGAGCTGTTAAAGCTCTCATATTGTGCTTGAAGCTACAAATATAAAATTGGCAGGACAAAAATTGCGTATCTTTTTCCTGTTTTTTGTATTTTTCTGAGACCAATAAGGGTATCAACCCATAACTTAAGGATAGTATTCATATTTGTACTAGCAATGTATGGTGTACAACTCAGAACAATAGCTCATATATCCTTTGAGTTATGAACTAGTTTCATAGTACCCCCTAGAATATTTTCCTAGGGGGGTAAAAATGCCCAAATTTAGTGTCGTGACCACCCCGTTGAGCTGTCATCTTTTAATATCTTTATCAGCATGAAAAACTGATCTAGTAAAAATAGGTCTGTTGCTTTTTCTAAAAAATGCCTCAAAAACTTGAATTATTTGAATTGGAACCTGTCTATAACACTCACAAGCATGATTTGGCCATGATAAGTCTGTGATTTAATAAGATAACAAAATGATGACAATAGAGCTAATTAAAACATTCCTCTCTCGAAGTGAATTTGTGAAGATACCATGCTAGCTCGGTTTAGTTGTTGCAAACTAGCCAAACTAGATAATAGCAATGCCAAGGTGTAGCAAATCCAATCTAACAGCCATTGCTACCATTTTACAAAATCCCACTACTTTTTCAGTTAGACCAAATATCATAAAATAACACACATAAAAATGAACATCATTTTTTAAAATGGCCAAAAACTAACCAATAATATACATGTAATGTGCCATGCTTCTGAGTATCCAAATATCCAATATGAACAAAATCACGCCATTATTTTTCGAGTTCAGTAAAAAGAAATAATAAAAATATACTAAAAATGGTGGCCATTTTTTTAAATGGTAACCTCCTAACAAAAGTGTCATAAGACAGTGTACCATTATTATGAGTATTCACATATCAAACATGCACATAATCGCTCAATTACTTTCCAGTTACAGAAAAGTTCAAGTTACAAAAATCGTAAAATAGAATGCAATGACTGCCATTTTTCAAGATGGCCACCATGTTTTTTCAAACATTTAGATTTTTAATTTAATCAATATCCTTTATAATTTTTTGCATTTAATACATATTTCTATTGCAGTTTTATACATTGTACCTAAAATACTGTAAAACTGACACTAAAATTGAGGTTTTCAAGCAGAACATGTACTTCCATGGCAGATATGTATAAAATATAAATGATATTGGTCTAATAGTATTTGAGTTATTGCCCGGATGGATGTACGGATGGACGTATAGAGAGATGTACATACAGATGGAGCTGTTTTCCACTAACTTCACTAATTTCCCCACTAACTTCTTTTGATGGGATAATAAATGCAATGTTCCTTCTAACATATTCTT